GAGAACCGGACCAAAAGTCCGGTTCCAACCATGGTTCTGGACCGGACTGCGGCAGCACTACATTGGCGAGCTCTTGATCTGATGCTACCAAAGCCACCGGTCTCGCAAATGTGTCAACATGCGAAAATAAGTAATGAACTGTGTGGCGAATGACAACCAAGCATCAACAAACAATTGATCGGATGTAGACATTACATAAGTTGGAATATTCCAATGTTCAACTCCGAAGCTTGTCGCGTCGGCGTGCATAGCAAATATTATACTAGAGCTCCGATACCTTTTAACGGCAAGGCGAGAGTCAAAATCCGTGGGTACCCTTTTTCTGACGGAAAGTCACTACCATTGCAATGATTCAGGAATATTTTTCGTGTGCTTTGTTTTAGTTGATAAACGTAACATCTACATAGTGACGACCGGACGCTTCCCAGCATAGCCTATAGACGATGATATCAAATGGAGACACAGGCCATTCCAGTCCATGACATCACAAAAATTGCTCATCCTAGACCTAACAATACATAGATATATCTGTGGTGTCAACACTGTCAACAATATCAGGGTTAGGGTCTAGTATGTCTGAGCAGACTTAGAACCTGAAATGTCCAATGGACGGAGCGTGTACGACGTGTTCCAGACAAATATATTATTATCTCAATTAGACATTGTAAATCACACAGAGATATTCAGTTAAAGTCAGATATTGATTGTCATGACGAGAGTACAAAGTATTGTAAAGTACTGCAATGTAAGGAACCTGGAGCACTAGCAGGATATGACTGAGCGAGAGAATGCTGAGATCATATGGCAAGTAATGCCTTGAGGTAGCGGCAAAAGTCCCAGTACGAGAACAGTAGTAGTCCGAGAGTCGATGACGCAACAAGGCAAAGTCGAATTTGAAAATGTGGTGATTCCAGAAGCGGTCGCTGGGTTCAGAGCTGATGCAACAGAAGGATAGAGCCTAGGACGAGTGAACAAACTGATACTACTTCCTGCATGCTAGTGTTCATCTAAATAGTAAATCAGTACATAGTATATGCACACATAACTAGCATATACTCACCTTTCGTGCGATCTGAGTGAGCTCCTTAGACTTTCCGCCATCAGCAATAAGTGATTGGAGTCCCGGAGCCAAATGAAGCAACTGCTGATAGTTGCGCTTGTACTGATTGAGGGTATTGGTTGAACTAAAAAATGGGCAAATTTGAGTGTAGCGTAGAAGAAACTAAAAAGATGGGACTTACAGACTCACAAGCCTTTTCTTGCAGGACTCGCACTCGGCCTCGGCCTCTGGTGTGGGCTGGGATTGCGAATAGAGGGTCGATGCAGCGAAAGATTGGGGAAAGGCTGGAAGTCCATTCGCGAGAATTGAACAGATGACCACCAGGTTGAGTTCTGGTCATTTGCCGTGGGAATAGGCGCAAAGGGAGCAGGGATGAGACGTACACATTTACGAGGATGATAAGATGAAGCATCCTGCACCCAATAAGCGAAGAGGTGTCGTAGTCACTGAATGGTATGAGATGAGGCATGCTGAGACGGGATATGTGGATGCACCATTGTAGTAGTCGGGAACATCAGATTTTGCAACTGGTTTAAGAAATGCGTCCACATTGTAATTAGGTGGGGTTCCCCCCCCCTAGTGATTCAACATGGAGCAGGAGGAATGGCTCGTCTGTCCGCCATCCGAACATGTCTTAGACGAGTGTCTGTGGCCTCCGCCCTTGTTGGTGGCCGCCATGATAATGTCGCCTGGCTTGGACTTCTCAGAGTCAAGGAGCTGCTGTTCGATGTCGAGACGAGTGCAGATGTTAGATGGCCCATAAGGAGCGCTGGCAGTATTGGTAGCGTTGCGAACATGTGGGAAGTCATTAGCCATGGCGTTAAGTAGCATGATAGTCAAGAATGATGGGTCCCACCTTCTCATGGCGTGTGGCCACATGCCTTCAGTGCAGTCCGAGCAAGGTGTGCATTGGTGAATGTGCGCAGGAATTCTCCTTATTCAGCAGTGGAGCGAGTATGGAGAGCAGCGGTGATTCAGAGGTTGTTGAGATCCCGGTGAAGGTTCTTCGATACAGCGAGGCATGAACAATGCTCCTGACTGTATCTATAAATGTTGTAAGGTCGCGCGTTGCCTAGTCTGCTATACTTGAGACGACAAGTGCGTTCGACCCTAAAGGGGAAGCGAGTGCAGCAAGGATCTAGAGGTATGCGCTACTGGTTGGCCAATGCGAAGCGCGAGAAAGCGCAGGTGCGCGCAAGGCGCGGGAATGCGCGCGTGTATGGCGCGAAGCGCGGGAAAGCGTGCGCGTGTATACAGATACGAGAGAGAGTAAGAGTGAGTTTGCTTAAGTGATGATATGATGTAAGACAAGAGAAGAGAGATGTGAGGTGTAAACAAATAGATTTCTACTATGTTCTGCTAGGTAAATAGTGGGTAGTAACCAGTAAGTCCTCTGTCGTTCTGGTGGGAGAGTAAGTATGTACTGCTGGCACTTTAAGTATGGCGCCTAAGCGCTGTCATGCGGAGCTGAAGCGCTACCGAGTAAGGTATGTAAGTATATATGTAAGTAAGGGTCCATGATAAAAATAAAGATGGAACGATATGCAAATGTGAGAAATGGAAATATACGCACTAGGGAACTTGGTGGACAGTGGATGGATGCTTCTGGATGGCTGGCGCTATAGGGCACTCAAGCGCGGGAAAGCGCGCGCGCATATACATCGTGAAGCGCGGGAAAGGTACGCGCGCAAGTTGCGCGATGCGCGGGAAAGCTGCACCTCGTATAGGAATAGCTGTGGATAGCATACAGAGTGATGCTACAAGTTCGTGCTGTATACTCCTTGGTAAAAACTGCAATATTGCACAAGGAGAGGCATGAGTCTCTACACCGGAACCTGAGCCGGTATTTTGATGGTAAGAGGCTTGCTGGAGCTCAAACCAGCCAAGGATATCAGTTCAATATGAGATTTGGGTTGTGCGTGAGGCACAGTGGGCATATCACACAGTGGGTGTGCAAGAAAGAGATGCGGGAGAAGGAAAGCACCACGTTCCAAAGAGGAAGTAAGAACAACGTTCGATGATGTCGACTGAAATAATGACCATGCGCGCCGTATGTGCGTGTGTCACAGCAAGGCTATTAAGGCTCGACAATGTCAAGATGTGGTTTCTGCACTCTCAATTATGTGAGATGACAATGCATATAGACAACTAAATTGAACACTTACACGCTCGAGTGAATAACCCTGAAACAGGCCCTCATCCTCATCGTAATTACTGGCAGGTGGCTAGAACAGGACAAGCACCACCGAACATCGAAATTCTCTCTGAGAGCAGGACATTGCCATGGCGCCTTCAGTATCAGGTATGCAGCCCAAAAGACAAGAGGATGCACAACCGAGAGCGGGACATGGTCATGATACCATCAGCGGTGGTGAAGTAACACAAGAGATGAATCACGCACCACTTGAGAATGGGTCATGCCCAGTGTACCATCAAGACCCGGCTTATAAGCCAATATCACACACCGTCTGGGAGCGGGATATTCAGTGGCACTGTCAGTATCGGGTAAACACATGCACCTACCAAAGACTCCCGGCACCCCCATGGCACCATCACAATGAAATCATACACTTCATGAAGACAAGACATTACTGAGGCCACAGTGAAATGTTGGAATGGAAGCAGCGCGCATATACTCACCTTTAGGTAACAAATGTGGATACACTATGTGGAGAGATAATAAGTACACTGTACGAGGAGGGGTGGAGCCCCTTCAGTGAATTTACCCGTATTAGACGGACAGCTAAGGGTGACAATGTACCAATAGAAGCGGGCCAGCCCATGTGGGCCCATGGCAATAAGTGTACCATGCTAGACGAGTGGGCCGGTGGTTAGTGTGTACCTGTTCCAAACAGATGGGCTGGTGGTATATAGTGTAGATGGTGGTATAGGAATGTAGTGTATTGTCTATTATGAATAGCAGTGAATGCAGTGTCCGATGTAGACGAGTGGGCCGGCTGAATGGTGTGCAATGTAAATAAGTGGGCCAGGGAGATGGGTGTGATGGAGACGAGTGGGCCGAGGGTACAGGGTACAATGGAGACGGATGGGCCGGGGGTATGGGGTGCAATAGAGACCAGCAGGCCAGGGAGATTAGTGCGATGGGGACGAGTGGGCCGGGGGGATAAGCTCAATGGAAGACGGGTGGGCCGGGGGGGTAAGCTCAATGGAAGACGAGTGGGCCAGGGGGAGTAGGCACAATGGAAGACGGGTGGGCCGGGGGGTAAGCTCAATGGAAGACGAGTGGGCCAGGGGGAGTAGGCACAATGGAAGACGGGTGGGCCGGGGGTAAAGCTCGATGATATCCCATCCGGTAGATGATGGAAATTTCTGCCGGTATTGATGCTGAAGGAGAAATGGATGATACAGATGAGACGGTAGTATATACAATGGATGATACAGATGAGCCAGTAGTACATGAAATGAATGATACAGATGAGACGGTAGTACATACAATGGATGATACAGATGAGCCGGATAGCCGGTAGTACATACAATGGATTATACAGATGAGCTGGTAGTACATGAAATGGATGATACAGATGAGCCGGTAGTACATACAATGGATTATACAGATGAGCCGGTAGTACATGAAATAGATGATACAGATGAGCCGGTAGTACACACAATGGCTTATACAGATGAGCCGGATAGCCGGCAGTACATACAATGGAGCAACCGGTAGTGGTCAGTGTGATGCATGTGAAGGTGAAATGGATGATACAGATGAGCCGGATGAGCATGAACATAATCTGATAGTGCGCTGTGTGATAGCGGTGAAGGTGAAATGGATGATATAGATGAGCCGGCAGAGGGCCATCTGGTACCAGGATATTCTCACTAAATGCAAGTTATGCAAGTCAAATCATATTCATTGAAAGCATGCAAGGTTGACAACACAATGTAGACGACAGGTACATATGAAAACATGAATGATGTGCTACTGTGTCCCATCACCGGAAGGCTTGCTTGGATATCTAGCACTCACTGACCGACCTTGTTGAGATAGAGGACCATATCGCACACGTGGCAAAGGAGCCGAGATGGACTGTGCATCAGCTGGCATACTTGATGGTCCGGCAACCGGGGGATCAGGAGATGGCATAGCCGGAGATCCAGCTGGAGGAACAGATGATCTGGATTCCCTCATGGTCAGTGGAGGGATGTTGGTGGGAGTGGATGGCACCCGGTTAAGCCTTGCGACTGGTGAGCCATCTGCAGTGTCACCAAACGCATCACCACCGGTCTGTGCACCCATCCAAGATACATCTGGGGTGAACACATTGTTGGTGACAGCTCGGGCAAACGCACTGATGGATGGGCCAGGAGCTGTGATGGGAGGTGGATTGAATGCCGGCGGTGGAGTTGATGCTGGTGTTTGAGCGGATCTATGCTCCCTCAGATACCTGACAATGCCTCTCACTTCGGCAGTGCACTCAGAGAGGAGTCCACGCTGCACCTGCATATCCCGCTCGAGTTCATCCACCTGCATGGACATTGCACTGTCAGATGCCTCTGCAAGGTCCATGCAACGCTCCAGGCGACCTTGCTGAAAGTCCATTTCCAATCGATCGCGTGTATGAAGGTCCTCCATCTCAACGCGAATTTGGGCCAACATGGCCTCCATCTGGTCATGAGAAAGGGGGTGCCGGGTGGGTGGTGTGCGAACGACCGGTAACGGTGAGAACCAGATGTTGTCCTCTGAGGCCATGGCCGGTGATGGAGCTGGAGGTGGCAACTCGTCAGTGCCGGGCTCGATCCAGTGATCCGCAGGGAAATCGTCTGCTGACGCCAAAGGGGTGGATTGCTGTTGGGCACCCGGCACACCCACAGTGCCATCGAACATCTCAATGTTGTCGTCTTCCTCTTCGATAGGACTAGGTTGCCGGATTTTCTTTTCTACAAGCATGGTGAGAAACACAAAGCAACCGGAAGCAAAAGACTTACCTTTCACATTAGATTTCCCCACCATCTTCTTGCCGGTCGCTTTGGACCGGGTCGTCTTAGAGCGCGTGGTGACTGCGGCTGCAGGTGGTGCAGTGTCAGTGGTGGGGGTAACGGTGGCACTCTCTGTATCCGGACGGATGCAAGCCATCTTCCAGACATGGCACAACGTGCATGTCGAGGCGACATCGCCTTTCTTTGTCAACCGGGGGCAACACTCCACCTTCTTCGCCTGGCATCTCTCACAAGGCGGCAGAGGTCCATCAGCACGAGGCTATAATAAATCAGCATTGAAACAGCTAGCAGCGACAGGAAGACTCACCGGTTCTTGGACCTTGGTCTTCCTGCCGGTGGCCTTGCCCTTGGACTGGGTGGAACTTGCCAATTTTTGTCGCTTCCCTGGTCGTAAAGTGGCCTGCACTATGATCAGCGATGGACTGGTAGATATATACAGAAAATCAAGAACTTACCTTGGATTTGCCTTGTGCGTCTTCATCCTCCTCCAATTCATCTTCTTCATCATCTGCGGTCGCAACAAACTGACTTGCCTTCAGTTTGCCCTGCTTTTTTGCAGGGACAACAGCCTTGCGCATTGATTTCCGGGGCTGTTGTCAGCGTCAGTAATGTTGAATGTAGGAGCAACAAACACTTACCTGAACGTCCGGAAGATCATCAACGTCAATGACGTCGTCATCCTCATTGCCGTCAACTTCCAGCGCCTTTGCCTTCCCCTTCCCCTTCACCATCTCACCGTCAGTGGTGTCAGTGTCGGACAAGATCACCTTTGACTTGACGACAGGCTTCCGGGACCGGTTGCCACGAGGCACAGGAGGGCTGGTGCTGAGTCGACGTTTCTGCGTCGTCGATGACCCTGCCGGTGCAGTTTCACCGGATGCTGCGCGTTTTGGCATGCGAATGCTGGCATCTCGCGCAGGCACCGGTACCGGTGGTGGTGCAGGTGCAGGTGCAGGGGTGGGAGCAGGTGGTGGTGCAGGTGTGGGAGCAGGTGGTGGTGCAGGAGCAGGAGCAGGTGGTGGTGCCGGTACCGGTGCAGTTGCTACTGCAGTCTCAGGTGTGAGTACAGGTGGGATGAGAGGAGGAAGACACTCACCAGGAGCTGCAGACGCAATAGGTGGTGCAGCACCCAATGTCTTACTGTACAATGGGTGCTTCATGCACATGTCCTGATTGTTCCCAAGACGGGTCCAATCCAGTACTTCCACCAATTGTGTGGTGCGCCTCTGAGCGCGAAAGATCTCAGCTGCAAGTGACAGCAGGCCTGGGGGAACATAGGAAGCCTCCTTCCCATAGGTGCGAATTGCGTCATTCTATGTGACTATAGTATCAATCAAGACAATTGACAGGTAATGAAACATACCACTTGACGCGCAATCTTCCAGCTCAACTCCATTTTTTCCTCTTGTGACGGCAACCGGTTGACATCTTGAACCATCTCAGTGAGCCGGGCGACAAGAGCTATGAGAGCCTGGTTGGCAGCGGCAGCGGCAGACGCAGAAGTAGAGGTAGAGTGAGAAGACATTGCAGGGAGATGATTGCAGTAAACTTAGTGGACAAGTAATCCGGAAGAGACGTGTTCAACAACCACACTTGTGAAAATTTCGGCAACTGGCAGCCCGGCCCGATCCGGAAATATCCGAGTCCATTGTTCGTTGTCAGCATCTATTTTTTAAGTGTCTATTTTTAACTCTGAAGATCACATTGTGCGGCTGACACGTCATCACCAATCAATTGTAACTACCCAACCTGTGAAGAAATCATCCGGTCACAGGCTGCAGCAGAACGTCTATTCTTCCGGTGATCTTATGAAGGCCGCTGTAGAGACTCATGCCTCTCATTGTGCAATATGGCAGTTTTCACTGGGGAGTACATGGCACGAACTTGTAGCATCACTCTGTGTGCTACCTGCAGCTATCTCTATATGAGGCGCAGCTTTCCCGCGCAACGCGCGCCATGCGCGCGTACCTTTCCCACGCTTCACGATGTATATGCGCGCGCGCTTTCCCGCGCTGTAGCGCCCTATAGCGCCAGCCATCCGGAAGCATCCATCCACTGTCCACCAAGTTCCCTAGTGCGTATATTTCCATTTCTCACATTTGCATATCGTTCCATCTTTATTTTTATCATGGACCCTTACTTACATATATCTTTACATACCTTACTCGGTAGCGCTTCGGCTCCGCATGACAGCGCTTAGGCGCCATACTTAAGCGCCAGCAGTACATACTTACTTACTAACTTACTCTCCCACCAGAACGACAGAGGACTTACTGGTTACTACCCACTATTCACCTAGCAGAACATAGTAGAAATCTATTTGTTCACACCTCGCATCTCTCTTCTCTTGTCTTACATCATATCATCACTTAAGCAAACTCACTCTTACTCTCTCTCATATCTGTATACACGTGCACGCTTTCCTGCGCTTCGCGCCATACACGCGCGCATTCCCGCGCCTTGCGCGCACCTGCGCTTTCTCGCGCTTCGCATTGGCCAACCAGTAGCGCTTTCAGCGCATACCTCTAGATCCTTGCTGCACTCGCTTCCCCTTTAGGGTCGAACGCACTTGTCGTCTCAAGTATAGCAGACTAGGCAACGCACGACCTTACAACAATTATAGATACAGTCAGGAGCACTGTTCGTGCCTTGCTGTATCGTTGAACCTTCACCGCGGATTTATACAACCCTTTCATTAAAATTAAAAAGAGAAGGATGCGACCGTCAGCCAAGGCCCAGCATGACCTACATGTGTCTAGTGAGGATGAAGGTAACAATCTATCTACTACAACAATGGACCGGTTGACATTATCCGGCATTCTAGTATTTGACATCTTGCAGCCAGGGCGCGATGAGCGCACTTACAACAACCCTTTGATGGATTGTGCAAGCATGGGTGAATGTGAGTTCATCTCATGCATAGCAAAGACCATTCACATTACCTTTGAAGACCTAGATGTCCTGTCCGCCCATGACCGGTTGAGAGATGGGAATAGATTGAAGGCGGTGAAGGTACAACAATTCAGATGGTGAGTCTGAACAATGTTGGGTCTTGCAGAACCTAGCTGCTATTCGACCCTAAAGGGTTTCTGGACCAGGCTCAAGGCTCAGAGAAGAGGAAATATCATGAAAACTTGCTGAATACTCAGACTCATACTGGTAACTGGTGAAAAGGTAACTTGATTATGTAAGCTACAAAAGTGCAAACATAACACTAAGGTAAAAACAGTCTCTGCAAGCCCAGCCAGAAATGAATCCCTACAGCGGTCCGCTTCCAAACCGAGGGTGACCACCGGTCATTGGACTTGGGTTTTCCTTCGTCAGATGACGACCGGATAACCGACACTCGCAACCACCCACAGCCGGACATCTTGGATATGCAATTCCCCACCATGTCTGACGATGAACAGTCACATGATGAGATGCTGGAATTGGGATTTCCACCAGAGTCGGACGTCGAAGATGTGCTAGATTTGGGGTTCGATATTGACGTCAGTGATTCAGCCGGAAACACAGGTGGGGCTCTGGAGATGGGGTTCGACATCGACATTAGTGATCCGGCTGGACACACAGATGGGGTGCTGGAGATGGGCTTCGACACCAATGATATCACGCCGGATGACAACCCTCTGGAGATGGGTTTTGATGTGGATCCGGCACAATTTGACCCGGATCGATCTTGTAAGCCTTCCTGTTGCTTCAGATATTGTACTGACTGTTGAAATTCAGTTGCTGTCATTCGACCGGATCCCATTGGATTTGTAATCCAGCGGGCTGTAGGCGATTTGCGGATTGCAATGCACCGGTTGGACATGGACCGGGCGAGCAATGCAATGTCGCCGGACGAGGCCATTGCAAGACAGCAAGTTCTTGACAGCACACAAGAGTTGTTGCTGGCATGTCAACTGATATCCATATCTCGACTTGCAACATGAAGTATGTAGTTCCGGTCAAATGCTATCTACACCCTAGACAAATTGCATGCAAAAATCCACATTACTACTACTGCATATACTGAGCTTTGTAAGAGGCCTTTGCACTTCTAAGAGAGCGCTTTGGCTCATGATTGGTGGTCTGGGCTTCATGTCCTTTGGCTTTCTTGCCGGTGGCCTTTGGTTTGGGCACCGGTCCCTTGTGATTTTTCTTCTTGCCATGAGCACCGGATGTAGGACCAAATGCACGACTCTTTGAAGGCGGAGGATGGTTGTCACGATGACCGGTTGATTGCGCGGAACCGGTGCTGGCGTTGTTGGGCTTGGATTTCTTTCCTGGTGACCGACTGTCCGACTCTAAATCAGATTGAATGTGACCAACCCTACCACGCTTCTTGGTTGATTTTGATTTAGGTGGTAATGGAACCGGCCTGGATGTCTTGACCGGTGGGCAAGGATCTTCGTGCTCTGCAGCAGATGCAGCCGGACTAGTGCTGCGTGCGTTGACCGGCCTGGATTTCTTGACCGGTAGGCGATTTTTGACAGGTTTTGACATTGGAGGTGGCGATGTGCCATTGTCATCATCATCGTCCTTCTCTTCGTCGTCATCCTTATCTTCGTCATCATCCTTATCGTCGTCGTCATCCTTATCTTCGTCCTCACTACTCGATTCCTGTTCCACCCTCCCGGTGCGCTTTCCGGTATGTTTTTTCACCGGATTCTTGCGTCTCGTGTCAGAACCCTTTCCAGAAGTCGCCTCTGCCGGTTCTCTCATCGTCTTATCGTCACCTTCCCAGCCTTTAAATTCAAAGGTTGGGCGAACATGGTCCTTCTGTCTTTGACACCACAATTCCAACAGCCGGTCAGCGTCAGCCAACCGAATCTTTGACGGATCGTCAAGCTTCCAGCCGGTAGGTAAAAACTTGACTGCAATAAAGTCCCCCTGAGCCTTCCTCACTGAGGCCCAAGGCACAGACGCCTTTGGTTGTTGGCTGCACAACCCTGAGAAATCGCCGGTCAGTTGATCAACTCTCCAGACGCATCATTTGTGAAACTGACTGTAGTGTTTTGTGAGGAACGTCCTTATAAGACGCTTTTTACTCTCGAGGTTCAGCTCTTTCACGTCCGGTATGACCGGAAGCCCATAGCTATCCACCTCCAAAGGATATTCGTCCTTCTTTTTGCCTTTCTTCCTGCCTTTTTTCGCCTCCCCCTCACTATCATTGTCATCATTATTCAGGTCAACATCTGAGTTCACCCCATGTCGCATAAGTACTTGACTGAATGTTGCAAGATTGTCAAACAGAAGCTCACCGAACTCTTCTCCAGCGTAGGCATTCCACTCTGATAACATGGGCTTCCAGTCCTTTGTATCGGTAAAACTATTGCCCTCCAACTTTTCATTGAAGTCGATTCTTCCGACCGGATCAGGATTCATTTACCAGGTTGAGTGTGAACTGGAACTCACCCATTGATACGCACTTCGTCCTCCTCTTTCCATGCCGATAATATAAAAATTCTCATACCGGCCTGCTTCCACAACTTGGACGCCAGGTCCTTCATCAAACCGGGTGCTTTCTTCTTTGCAAAGTCCACCTGGACAGCTGCAGGAGGAGTCTTGGCAGACCACTCAATCGCAGTGTTCTGAGCTTCCTCCAGCTCCTCTTTAGATAGACCGGCCATGACTGCAGTGAGTGTTGTCTGATATCTTTCAATAAAGTCTTTGATCCTGGCATCGCTCCGGTCTTTTCGATGATCTCCTCCTTGCGCAGTTGTTCTATGACCATCCGGGAAGTCCATTTCTGACCCAACTTGCTGGCCTTCTTTTTTCGAGTCTTTTCAGATCTCCGGTTATATAACCAGTCCCGGTACATCTCAATACATTATGATAAAAGTCAGTCACCGTGCATCAAATTTGAAGTTCAACCGCTCACATATTTTCTGTTCTTCAATGACCGGTCATCCATAGCAGGGGCATGCACCTTTGCCTCTTTTATGACCGCCTTCAGAATCTTTTTTCTATCGTCGGCAGCGGCTTCCTTCCATTCTTCTAGGTGGGATTTTAAGACCAGCACCTCTTCCTCGGTCAATTTCTTCTGCTTGGTCTTTTGTGGGCTGTCGACTGATGAGTTGGACCGGGGCATGGTAAAGCAGTTGAGGAGCAGTTGATGTCTTGGTAGAAGAAAGGATGCATGCGTGTCTCACAGTATTAGGTTACATAACCTATGTACGTGACTGCAAACCGAACAAGAGATTGTCCAATACTTGTTCGTTGGTTTGATTGGTATGATTCCCTTGACATCCTGTGTTTCTGATACATAGAAGAGAACTGTAAAAGCACAAGTACTTAGATGTGTATTATATAATATATGGGCAGCATACAGCCCTCCGGTACTGCATGCCACAGACATAACTCATGTACATGCCCGCAAACCGAACAAGAGATTGTCCAGTACTTGTTCATTTGTATGATTGGTATGATTCCCTTGACACCCTACGTGTTTCTAATGCATAGAATTGAGATCTGCACAAGCATGCATACTTAGATCTGTAGAATATAGTATATGGGCAGCATACAGCCCTCAAGTACTGCATACAGGCCCTGTGCAATCATATTCCACAACCTGTTTGAGTAAGTATCCTCACAAATGACTTTGGAGGCCAACATAAATGTGCATACAAACAGCCGGTGTCCGGAAGATCAAACAAGAAGCCTGTTTGCGTCCATAGAGTGGGTTATTGGGTTTGAACTGTTCTCTCAGAGCATGTTTTGCAATGCCAGTGCCCTCGACTGAAGGATAATCAATGTATTCACTTTGCCAGACTCATCAATCATCTGACCGAAAGAAGCATGTATTACTGCTGAACCCTCTTAATTAACTGAATTACTTGTCTAAGACCAACACTCCGGAACACTGGCTAGACAAGTATTTGAACCTCGAAATGTAACCTCCGGTCGACGTACTTTATCAAGTCAATTGTCATCTAACTTGAACATGAAATCCATGCGACTTGTGTTAATGGCAGGATTATGGTGTTTGTGAGATGATGCAACTATGGCAACCCTCGGTGACTCCAACCTTAATATATCCCAACCGGAGATAATATTACAAGATCATCACAGCAACAATGTGGTAATCCCGACTGTTCAAACCATTTGGAGTCTGGACAACACCGGATCAATTGGTCCCTTGATGAATGATTGGGTAGTTCAATGACTAACGAGGGAAAATGTGGTAATCTCGACAGTTCAAATCGCCCGGAGTCCGGAAAATTGATGGAAGGCACCCAAGTCAAGTGTTCAGCATACTTATCCTGTCCAGTTGTGGCATCAACATGCGAAAGACCAAAGAAAAGGGAATCACATACACCCCTCCTACGAAGAAACGATTGCCTCAGCTGTATAAGCTCAAGGAAACAACTACAACTAGAGGATCCAGGTCATCTTGGGTGAAAGATTCATGGGCTCGGAAAACACGGTCAGGTAACATCATCACCGACAAAATCTCCCTCGAAGCATATATCTGGGTCCCCTCACTTGCTGTATGAAGGCACCAATTTCAACTTTGACCAAGGTGACATCCCACAGCCTAAATTTCCGAAATCTCTGGCAAGCAACAGTCGTCTTCATTTCCAGAGTCTGGGTCTGACCGGATCACACAGAGTCAGAATGCATATCTCCAGCAATGGAAATGCAAGTTCAAGGACTACATAAATTCACTCATGGTCAGAGAAGCCCCTCCACCTGACCGACTTTGTTCAGTCTGCAAGAAGGATGGGGTGTATAGATGTCATGGCTGTTTCAACGAGCCACTCTTTTGCACAGACTGTTGCAGAATTCAGCATCAATGACATCCATTCCATCGCATCAGTCAATGGACCGGATCATTTTTTCAAGAAACTTCACTCCTTAAAGTTGGCCTGCACATTCACCTTGCTCACAACGGCACTCCATGTCCCAGCAGCAGCACGGATTACTCATCTGATGTCTTTCAATGGTCAGACACCGATGACGATATAGATGACAATTATCCAGAGGGACCTTTCATTCCACCGGTCAGAGACCCGGATCAGCCGGCGATAACTATAGTAGACAAGTCCGGTGTTCACTCCCTTTCCATATGTTATTGCCACTGCCCCAGTGCTCTCAGCCGAGACATGCAGCTTTTTCAAGCCGGCTTGTTCCCAGCATCTTTCACCAGACCGAAAACTGCATTCACATTCGCCGTCTTGGACGACTTTCTGTTAGACAATCTCGAGTGCGGTACATCAGCCATGAATTACTACAGCAAAATTCGCAGACTAACCTCGAGCATCTTTCCACTGATGGTTCCGGTGAGCTGAGTTTCACTTGGTGCATTGTCTTCCGGTCATTAAAGAACAATATCCGTAGGATCGCTACAGAGAGCTCATGAGAGCTGCCAGGCAGTGGCGACAATGCAAGCTTTACAAGTGGCATGGATTTGCCCACAAAGATGACCAGCTGAAGGACGGCGATCTCGCCCTATTTTGCCCGGCATGTCCACAACCGGGTATAAACTTGGACCTGTCTACCAGTACAGTCACCCAGTCAGACGATACACCTTCCTGGCTCATGACTAGATATTTGGTCATGGATGGAAATTTCAAAGCCGAGCACATGCATCCGGTGAATCCATCAGATGAAGTATCATTAATGGATGGTCTGGGATTCATGGTCTCCGATGATAGATACAAGAGCCATTTAGCCATTGCTCGTGACCATGTCCAAAGGTCAGATTGTAATAATCACCGAGCAGTTAATCAAGCAAACGCCTCATGGCAAAGGCTGGAGGCCACTGGTATAGGAGGATGTGCATGTGCACGGCATGGATGTTTTGTCCCACACTCCATGGTGGACTTTCAGAAAGGCGAAAGGTTCGTACATATTGCATCCGGTCGCATCAATCACTGATCTTACAACTCTAACCTGGAATGATCAGGCAGATGAACATGGACTATGCATTAAGTCAAGCGCTCAACTATAAGACCAACGGAATCTCTCGTGCCATAACATTCTATGACATAAATTGTCAGTATAACAAGTATTTGAAGGACCGGATCGCTTCTAGCATGTATCTTTCCATCCCCATTGGTATGGATATCATTCCCGGAATAGGTTTGTGGCACGTACATGGACATCAAGACAGCTGCTTTGTCCGGTATGCATCAAATTTCATCCATGGGACCAGCAGGATAGATGGAGAGATTATGGAGACCCTCTGGGCACCTTTGAATATAATCTCTCCATCGGCCAGGGGCATGGGAACTCCCCATCGCAAGGAGGTATTGGATTATCAGATGAATGATTGCAACTTTATGAAAATGATTCGTATAAGTAAGTCATTGATCACCGGATGCACATATATTGTCTTACTCGTGATAACGCATGACCGGCTGGCTCGTCCGGTAGCTAAGTTTCTGTCCAGAAAGTTGAAAGAGGCTATCAAGGGTGCTGCAGAGAGCAAACTTGCATTTGATAATCTCAACGAGACAGCCCAGCCTGACATGGTCATTCTATGGAAGGAAGAGGAGGCGATCGCTCATGCAAACAGAGTGGAGGATCCTGCAGCTATGGACATCTATGAGGTCCAGTTGGAAAGGGGCAAGTGTCTACTTTGATTGATCGTCCGGCAGGTCTGATCACATGGTCGTGCAGCTCCAACAAGAAAACAGCAGGAGTTGCGCCTGTTGCAGGCTCAAAATTGCACTGACCATCCGGTCATCAACCCCCCCGGTCGACGAGGAGCTGCCACTTGGCTTGCAACCGGTCTCACTATAGAGGAGTCCCAGATATCTCTCTCCAGGGATGTGAAAAGGTTACGAACACACCCAACAGATATGCAATTGTTGAAAGTGGCACGATGCCGGGATAAGCTTCACACTCAGATTACGAGGTTTCTGGAGATGGCACCTACTTATCTTGGAGGCGATGTCGATGTCAATGACCCGGATTTTCCGGTAATTGTTCGCAATTCACTCGATGATAATTATGAAGATTACTCTGATTTCGATGAAGATCAAAATCCCGGTGAAGGTACAACAATTCAGATGGTGAGTCTGAACAATGTTGGGTCTTGCAGAACCTAGCTGCTATTCGACCCTAAAGGGTTTCTGGACCAGGCTCAAGGCTCAGAGAAGAGGAAATATGATAGAAACTTGCTGAATACTCAGACTCATAGTAGAACTGGTGAAAAGGTAACTTCCTTATGTAAGCTACAAAAGTGCAAACATAACACTAAGGTAAAAACAGTCTCTGCAAGCCCAGCCAGAAATGAATCCCTACATCTCATGGGAACTTTGAATCATGACTGTCCCCAGTCATCTACCTATGCAAACCAAAGCTAAGCTAAACTAAGAAAACTAACCTGGGGGTCCTCAAACACCTTTTGTTTCCTTGACGCGTATGCCAGGTAAACTGCGCCAGTGAGTGAGGGTCAGGCAATGCAATAAAATGATAATCTCCAGACTTTGCTTTGAGTACTGGAGGAGCAGCGACGATAAAGTGATAAAAACCGCGATGATGGTTGCATGGGTGACGATGGGGAGTAGACGGATAGAAAGAGGCGAACGAGGGCTTCGAAATGAGTATAGGGTCGACTAGGATTGGTGGAGAACTGGGTGAGAAATGAAGGAAATGGTGGAAAATGGAGGGAAACGCGAGAAGTGCGGATTGCGGAGGAACGCGCAGACGTATCGGGAAGCGGGGCGGACGGATGGAAAGCGGCGGCGAATGCGGTCAGAACGAGTATAGGGTTAATAGGTGCGCGATCGAGGGGCGAGGAGATATAGATAAAATGGTGTAAATGTGCGATAAAATAGAGGGGCGGTGGAAAACGCAAATGGTGGGCGAACGACGGAGCAGATCGGGGCGGCGATGGGCGCGAATGAAAGCCATGAATGAGGGCCTCAAAACGGGTATAGGGTCGAGGGGGTTCCAATGCGAAATGGGCTGGTGAAAGTGCGAAAAAGTGCGGAGGTGCAAGAGGGAGGAGGAGGAAGGGGTATGGTGCAGGGCAACAAGGGCTGGTCCTATCAAGAAGCAGATTGGGGCAATGGACAGAGCCACTGAAGGATGGTAAATGGCCAAAAGAGCTAAAAGAGACAGGCCTTTGAGCACCCAGAAAATCCTTATCTCCCCTCAACTTCTCAAAAACACCAAAAACTCGATAACTCCACAACTACTGCTCCAAATTCGATGAGCCAGGGCTCAAAATGACCGGACGGACGTGGGGAATACGACCCTAAGTTTGCGAGAGATCCGCTCGAAAAACGCGTGAGAAAAACGCTTATCAATGCGCTGGGGAGGAGGACAAGATGCTGAAAACTTGGAAATATGGGAGAAGCTGATAAGGAATGACTGTGGTAGGATAATAGGCGAATTTGGGGGATGATTGGAGAGCTGGAAGAGCCTAGAAACACAAGAAACCCTCGCGGTGGGCTCCAGTTGAAGGTACAACAATTCAGATGGTGAGTCTGAACAATGTTGGGTCTTGCAGAACCTAGCTGCTATTCGACCCTAAAGGGTTTCTGGACCAGGCTCAAGGCTCAGAGAAGAGGAAATATGATAGAAACTTGCTGAATACTCAGACTCATAGTAGAACTGGTGAAAAGGTAACTTCCTTATGTAAGCTACAAAAGTGCAAACATAACACTAAGGTAAAAACAGTCTCTGCAAGCCCAGCCAGAAATGAATCCCTACACCGGTCCGGACATTCACGATGCTTCCATATTTCAACTGGAGCTAACTGTCATACCACTGCCATCCAACATTGGTGAGGTGAGGTGCAGGGAGTTAGGTCTCACCAATCTCATGAAAGAAGAAATTGCCCTACGAGAAGGCCAGGCCAATGACGCACTCCACGCCATTAGAGTGCATTTAGGCAATAAAGCTGTTATATTCCGCAATACTGTCCGGTCAGCCAAGTCACAGGCTTCATCCACAAGGGCATGGACTCGAGTTCGCTCAGTAGAAACAGCAGTCAATCTCAATGCTAGTATATATTCGAAATGCCAGTCGCAGCTGGCGAAGCTCCCTGACCACGACCTCCTGACAAAATATCTTCCTTTGAAGAAAGAAGACTTGAAAGCCAGCTCTGTGGTGGCTGATCCAAATGCACGTGGTCAGAGGGATACCACTCTTTCGTGGTTTTGGTCCTTGGATGTTCAAGGAGACACGTCCGGAAATGACTGGATGACAGAATGTGAGTGTCCGGTGCTTCTGGTTACTCCCGGTTGTCCGGTCTCATGTGCTTCATCATAGTTTACCGGGTAAATTGGCTCCAGACAAAAGCACTGCGCGACCGCTGGAATGAGGAGGTTATGCTTGTCAAACATGAAATGCAGTGGTCGATTATTTCTTTAAACATAGAGCCAAGCAATGGCTCGGTCACATGCGCGACGCAACATCTGCAGGGCTCACCGGACATACATGTTATGCTGCCAGACAATCTCACATATATGACCAACTGGCGGCACATGCAGAGGATTCTTTTCGCAAAATGATTGTTCAGCTACAAGTACCGGTACCGGTACCGGTTGAGGTGGTTGTTGGTACCGGCTAGTTACATAATCGAGGTTACCGGTTGATAATACCTATTATGTAATATACACCTCACATTTCTCTCCATGAACAATACTGCAACTCTCATTCCCCCTGAGCAACTAATCATTGCTGCAAAGGGCCATCACATCACAGCTGCAGATATCTCTCGTGCACTGTTTTATGCCAATTCCCGGATGCTGGCCATGCGCCTGTATGTTGACAAGAGTTTTGCACCGGCCCTGCCTGGTTATGCAGAGGCTTTCTACACCCTGATGAAATGGGAGATGGATGTGGGTGGCCGGTCATGCTGATACTCTCATGCCCTCATCTTTTCTCTGTCATATAGACCTTTGTAACGCCTTTCATCAACATCTGTTTTATCACCCGGTTGTCCGCTACTATTCCTCAACTTCTCAGGGATGTGCTCTCAACCATGACCGTGCATGCTTTGGTGGACCGGCGACCGGATGTCAATGCCATTTTGCAGGATATCCGGTCATTGCGCCTGTCTGCCGATTCGAACAAATCAGATGACTATGATATTGCTCATATGCCGGACTACTTCAATGACTGGTGGAAGGAATCACTTGGTTGTTGCAGGGTTTCGGATATGTTGCCCAAGTCATCTGTCCAAGATGTTATGGATTTGGTTGCATGGCACTTTTCACACCTCGTCAGTCAGTCTATATGATTTTCTCAACACCAGATACTAACACCATACATGACAGCCTGATCATGTCAGGACCGGCCTTCTCCCATATATTGCGCAGGGTCCGGATAATCTGCTGGAGACGATTGGGTTGTGCCACCGGACACAAACTGGGAGAGAGTTGCTGGACATGTTGCAGATAAGGATGATGAATCTTAGGTGTTCCAGTGACCGGTTGACCGGATTGGTTGGGCCCATTGAAGAAATCACCAGAGCTGTATCATCATCACAGGCGCTCATTGACAGGTTAAATACAGATGACATTGCCTCCATGTAGTTACAGTTAAAGTACACCCTACTGTCTGCTGGTATCCGGTCAATCTATTATACAAACCGGCATGTAAAAGTCTGTTCATGCAATCAGAGGTCGTGTGAAAATGGAGCTATTTTCTCCAATTGATGTATCAGTGGTGCTTTTCCTGTCACTTGATTGAATCGGCAAGCCATGGTTACAATTCCAATTGACTGGGCCTTGTACCAGACATACCTTGCCGGTGAATTGGTGCATGAGATTTTCATGGCAACAATTCTTCACCGACCGGTAAGGGATATGGACCTTGGACTCTTGGATATCGACACTTGCATTGCTTTGGAGCAGCTCGCCAATGTGATGGCCACTGCTTACTCTAACGCCGGTAGGTACTCCAGCTCATTTATCTGTTCTGGTCAACTGACCTGCAGACACAGTTCGTCTTAAAATTAACATGGTTAGATACAATGACGCCCTGGACAAAGATGAATCCGGTCGAAGTGAGACACGAGAGGAGAATCTTTTTAACAGATTCCCCCCTGAAGAGGAGCGTTTCTTGACAACCCCATCTGTTGTCATTGATTCCGGCGGTAGAATCATTGTCTGGTATTTGCCTGGAGCACTGACCACTATGATAATGGTCTGTTTTTCCCATCTCCATGTAATTTCGTCTTACCCGGATGTATGACACAGAAAGATATTCATGGTGCCACGCATTCCATGAGTGGTCTGTTGAAGCATAGCATCACAACAAGCAAGATCACTCAATGGAGGACCAACCGGTCAAACTTCCATATAAGTCCAGATGGGATGGTCACCCCCGGTTGTATCAATATATCCCCTGCATGGTTTCAACAAGGAAGAGAGGTGCGTCCGGTTGTCGTGCATTGAAATCTCTGGTATGAAGTATCGTAGAAACACGGCTTTCCGAATCTTGACCCGGAAGATGGCTTCTCGCCAGAGGTATCAGCGGCACTGAAAGGTGATGCCGGTCACAACATTACGACATCCCTTCAAAGGTCCGGTATCATCGTCTCTGCTGCACTTCGGGTCATGCACCCTGATCTTTATTGGGCCGGAATGGAAACTCAAGTCAGGCTTGGTAAATGGGCTTCCAGATATGAATTAGACAAGATGCACTATCATCTTCAACGCTGGACATCTGTCTTTAATGTGGTATCTATCATATGCAATCGCCGGTCGCCCCTCATAGAGATCCCAAATGTCGACCAGCAGCATTTGATATCATGACGACTGCCGGTAGGTATCACCCGGTTGTAATGGACTTTATGAATCTCGGGATCAAGTTTCTATACGACTCTGGCTCGATTCTGGCTTCATCATGTCGACTGGTGAGACATTCCATGAATGTGGAAGAGGGCAACCGGATTGTTACTGCGTGGTACATGCGAGACAGCATCCACAATTTTGTTGGGACTCCGAGCACAGAGTATGCAAAATATGACCGTGTAAATATGTAGGAGCTGTATGTATATATGTGGTATACTCTATTACTGTATTGAGATGGTTTCCGCATGTGCTGGGTGGATAATTGAGCCGAACCAGATATGTATCGTGGAACTGTATGGGTATAGACCCAGATGTGTATACCAGATGGACCGGATGGGTATTGCCGTAAGAATACATTGCACCGGATAATGTATCGTGGTCTCCGGTTAGTGCACTCTGCATGTACCGGATGTGTTTACCTGCCTCATATCTCACCCCATCCCTCGGCCCACTCATCTCCGGTTAGCATAGTCTGTATGCTCCACACACCCTTACCCACATCATATCCCACCCCATCCCTCGGCCCACTCGTCTCCGGTTAGTACACTATACATGTACCGGCTACATTTACCTGCCTCGTATTTCACCTCATCCCTCGGCCCATTCGTCTACAATTAGTACACTATGCATGTACCGGATACCCTTACCCACCTCGTATCCCACCCCATCCCTTGGCCCACTCGTCTCCATCGCACACTGAATTCATGTATATGCATAAATATCCTATACTACCTTCTACATAATATACCACCGGCCCATCCGTTTGGAACAGGTACACACCACCCCACCGGCCCACCCGTCTATCACGTATATACATAGATATCCTATACAGTACACCCCTATACTACTGTCTACATAATATACCACCGGCCCATCCGTTTGGAACAGGTACACACCACCCACCGGCCCACCCGTCTATCACGTATATACATAGATATCCTATATAGTACATTCCTATACTACTGTCTACACTATATACCACCGGCCCATCCGTTTAGAACAGGTACACACCACCCACCGGCCCACTCGTCTATCATGGTACACTTATTGCCATGGGCCCACATGGGCTGGCCCGCCTCTATAGGTACATTGTCACCCTCAGCTGTCCGTCTAATACGGGTATAAGTTACTGTACTATGTGAAGCACAGTCGGCGTACTTTGCCTCTACGAGATTGGTTTTGACATCTTTTGCCCTTATAGTGTACGACCATGCTATCACGTTGGATCAAGAGGTACGTTCGCTTCCTCAATCGATGAGGATACAAGACTGATCCACCGCCGTCGTTTGTTTCAGATAACTTTCTTCTGGTCTGGTTCATGGTCAGCGTCAAGAGCACTATATCTCAGCGTAATGTCATCGATTATTATTTCTTACCTTCAATTAGTAATATTATATTCGACAGATCCGATACTTGGCTCTGATACAAGCTTGGTGTGTTTTAACTGCATGCAATCAAAAGCGCATTATTTAACAACATTTCTTAGCCTTACTCTGTATGGTTCGTTATAGTAAATATTACTTGTCACGGTTCTGGTGAATAATGGACATATAGGAATAGTAGGACCGGTCGGGACACTCAGTTCTGTGGTGGGTTGCACGTATCATGATTTGGGATCTTACTTATAGCTTTCCAGAGGTGAGCTATTATACATCATGAATGCCTTACAGACCAGCTCATTTTGAAACAGAACAAACCTGTTCTTCATTACGGGCTACGTCCTTTCATTCATGGTCTTGATACTCTGTCAATGTTTGTCTTTGGCGCATTCGTCGATCCAAATGAATTGACTGGTATGCACAGATGTCGTGACATTGCGAGTGTGGCATCTATTCTTCCGGAGTTGCCTCATTAGATGGCTGGCGGTCACTGTTTTCGTCATTTGCGCGGCAGGAACTGTAATAATGGGCGGCGTTAAGTTTAATGCCATTAAGAGTGCCCTGTATGCACCACCAGTTGATGAGATCCTGACGCAGAGGCCTCCATTTGTGTTTGCCATATATTTGCCATCCCTGGTCGTCCATATGGCCATGCTCTTACTGACGATGTACCGCTTTCGCGTCAGCCCAAAAGCGTTGCAGCCACATGGCATTATACACCGATTCGTAAAAGAGTAGGTCCAGTCATCGGCTACAGTTTCTACTACGAAAGCTAACGTTTTCTTAGAGGGATAATTATGTATACGTTTGCGGCCGGTGAATACGTTTCGATTCTTCTCCAGCAGAGTCTAAAACTGAATTACAGGATCACTACTGTACGAAGTCATCGGTCTTTCTATGACTGAACCAAAGGAAATAACTGTAAGTTTTATGAGATAGTTGTTCACATTACCACTCAAAGTTGTTGTCAGGTATATTATCCGGCTTTCATGGGAGGGCAAGTTTTACTAAACGACATGGTATTCATGAAAGCTCATAGACACATCTATTTCCCAGAATAGCAGTAGCAACTACAGCCGTTTCCGTCTGTCGTGCAATGCTAAGCGTCCGGCCATTGGCTGCAACTTATCATGTCGATCCGGCATGGTTACTCAACTATGCAGAACTCAGTCGTGTTCAATGGAGGACAGGAGCCAATGAAGGGGAAATCTTCGTTGAAACAAGCGACGTGGACGCACATCACCCTTTCAATTCGCTGGGGGCATCTGCTGGGAGTACAGAAGGCGAAGGAGTTGTGTAAAAACTAATTTCATTTGTATGTTTCGAACATGATCCCCTGGAACGATACATTCTTGCTGAGACAGAACTCATCGTTTCAGCAAGTACCCGGACGTTTTATCTCGATATCACGCTTGTGCTCAAAATCAGATAGTTTGGTTGATGAAACTCATCGTTTCAGCAAGTTCCCGCACGTTTTATCTCGATATCACGCTTGTGCTCAAAATAAGATAGTTTGGTTGATGATCATCCCTCTCATACTTGCAAGATCAGTGATAGTGCACAAAATACAAAGTGAGTGGCGATATAAGTTGATCATCAAATGAGAGAACAATTGAACGATCCTATGAGAACTAATCGCTGTTTCATAATCAACCGCCTCGCCCAAACTCGGTCCAAACTACGAAGAATCATTTCTAATATAAGTAAGTACGGGTCACTGGTCAAGTTCTGCTTCTCCCAGGTGTTGAAAACACACTGTTTCGTTCTGATGATCAAAGCTAACGTTTGGATACCAGATTCGTGACAATGAGGCCTGACAGCTGTACTATTGCTGATTTGAACCCTACATAGTAAGTGGTGAAGCTAAAGTAGTGATGGTAGCTTGTCTCGGAATTCCATTTCAAGAACTTCCTAGCAGCCCATCACGCGCACAGCTGCCATCTTATTTGTCTCGGTAGCCTTAAAATACTAATCAAGAAATTCTTCTAGTTAACTTCTTCCCCGTGGACCAACAGCTTTTCAGTTGTATCGCCCTGGAATCTGGAGTCTGGATAGAATATGTACGATATTTATCTGATTCTTTCACCCCGTCGACCGCGCTGTCGTGTTCCTCATGATCACTCTATTTGACTCAGGCTATTGAAAGTTGATCTTGATTGATGACTGGACACATGATGCATGATGCAGGTCACCAGCCCTATTTTAGACCGGTCCACACGATGCATCAAGAATTCTCTGTTTTCAAATTTAGCGTGATTCAGTAGTACGTCCCACTCTCCAGAAGGGCATCATCTTCCTGATTGCTAACTTGCAAGCATTACTTGAGCCAGTCTAATGGACCAAAGGAGATCGTGAAGGTAGTTGCGCCGAGCTAGAACATTGGTCCAACGATGCAGAAATGAGAATTATAATGATGATTAATATTGTGGCTCAAGCTCAAGCCTCGTATTAACTGGATCGAGCGATGGAGACTGTTTTACCGGTCCGAGGTAATGACTCGGAGTGGTGAGTCGCCATATGAGTTTCACCATAAGCTATGCGGCTTAGTATGGTGATTCACTCCTCGTTTCAAATTTCAACCATACATTTTTAGCTGACACTTCGAGTTAGTGCTGCCGCGGTCCGGTCCAGAACCATGGTTGGAACCGGACTTTTGGTCCGGTTCTCCGCAGTTCGGTCCATGGTTCTCGCGCCAGCCAGAACCGGACCGGAAAACGGTTCTCGGTTCTAGATCTTCCCAAACGGTCCAGTTCTGGTTCGGCCTTCCCGAACCATTCTGAACCCTTATCGACTTCCACTTCGACAACTGTCATCTTCGGGATTCACGTTGTTGATTAATCAAGCTACATTTAGCCTTTTCGAAGGTAAGCACTAACTAATTAAACTCTCAAGTCTCTCACCCGCTCACCTCTATAACAGGAGGTTCTATTCATTGAGGACCGGCTACAACACTGCGCAAGACTACCTTTTACTGGAGGTGGATGTGTTAGGCGCGGTCAAGGTGGATTTTGGAGGGATTGTGTCTTGCGCTATGCTGCAGAGGTGCGTATTTGTGCTCTGAATGCTGATGGCTCCCTCGAGGGCCAGCACCCATCGCTACCAGCGCACGACCCATCACACGCCACACCACCTGCGCCTATGTTGATGCCCGCCACCTCACCGCATCCCCTCTCACTCGCTTGCTGTTCTTTCTGGCTGGCTTTTGCTGGCTCGCTCGCCGTGTCTCACTCACCCACTGTCTCTTGCTCACTGTCTCACACACCCGCTGGCTGCTCTCACCCACTGTCTCTCACCCCGCTGTCTCTCCCTCATCTCTCACTCACCCACTGTCTCTTGCTCACTGTCTCACACACCCGCTGGCTGCTCTCGCCCACTGTCTCTCACCCCGCTGTCTCTCACCCTCCGTCTCTCACAGCCTGCCTCGATGACCTACTATCAGATCCAAAGGTGAATCAATATGCATGTCTCATTGCATATTCTCACAACTGAATGCGCTCTGCTAGGCCAACAAGTTGGCACTCCATGTACGGGACACGCCACATGTTGACAACACCACCAGGAAAGTTGGTCCCATTTTCTGGAATGTAGCTCTTGGTGGCGCAATGGTCTCATTCGAGTTTTGGGCTACTCAGTGAGTTCTCTCTGGCATGCTTTGTGGAGCTCATGTATGTGTAACGTTCCCACCGGTCGCGTCATATTTTGGATCAAACCTCTCTTGCCAACCCAACTCCCAGTACCCTCTCACTTCCTTTGGCACCCTCTCGCTACCTTTGGCACCCTCCTGCCATCAAGTTGACAAGTTCAGCGCCCTCTCATTACCTTCAGCATCCTCCCGCTTAGCACATCCAATGCCACCAGCACCATGCGCAAACGCACAGCGCATGTAGACTCGACTCTAGATGGGGAGTTCTCTCAGCTGCAAAGGTGCATCATGGTGTTTTATTGTTTCAGTGTCTAATAAATTTATTATTTGTATATGGTACCCGCGCTCGCCACCATCTCACGCTGCTGCTCACTGCCATCTCCTGCTGCTGCTCGCTGCCATCCTCGACCCATGCTCATGATCGCCATCCTTCGCTGCCGCTTTCCTATTTCTGGTTGTGTCAACCCCTCGTTATCACAATCACTCTCCTGATACCTCTTGCTGCATGGTAATTGGGGGGGAGCAGCCATGTTATTAGATTAGTTACTCAACATGTATACTACTTAGTACTTTGTCAATGTTTTTTTGCAGTGCTCTTACAGTTTTTTTTTTGGTTTGGTTCGGGTTCGGACCCCAAAAAAACCTGAACCGGACCATAGAGAACGGTCCTCTATGGTCCGGTTCTGGGTTCGGACATTTTGTAGAACCGAACCGATGGTCCGGTTCTTGGTTCTCGTCTAGGACCCTCCGAACCGGACCGAACCGGACCACGGCAGCACTACGCCAATGACGGTACATTAGTAAACTACAATGACCTTCTATAGCTCCTACATATTAGTGCTCCAGTGCCACAGCTTGGAACAATCAGTTCTATTTCAATAAGAATGTATTATTTTAGGGGATCATGCTCAAAACATACACATGAAATTACTTTTTACACAACTCCTTCGCCTTCTGTTCTCCCGGCAGACATCCCCAGCAATTTGAAAGGGGGACCCGCGTCCATGTCACTCGCTTCGACAAAAATTTCACCTTCATTGGCTCCTCTCCTCCATTGAACACGACTCAGTTCTGCATAGTTGAGCAACCATGCCGGATCGACATGATAAGTTGCAGCCAATGACCTGATGCTTAGCATTGCACGACAGACGGAGACGGCTGTAGTTGCTACTGCTATTCTGGGAAATAGATGTGTCTATGAGCTTTCATGGATATCATGACGTTCAGTAACTTACCCTTCCCTCAAAGCTGGATAGTACACCTGGCAACAATTGTAAGTGGTAATGTAAACAACTAAGGTCATAAAACTTACAGATATTTCCTTCGGTTTAGTCATAGAAAGACCGATAATTTCATATAGCAGTGATCCTGTGATTTAACTTCAGATTACGCTGGAGAATAATGAAGGTATATTCACCGGCCGCAAACGTATACATCAATATCCCTCTAAGAAAATGTCAGCTTTCGTAGTAGAAACTGCAACCGTTAACCGGGCCTACTCTTTTACGAATCGGTGTATAATGCCACGTTGCTGCAACACTTTTGGGCTGACGCGAAAGCGATACATCGTCAGTAAGAGCATGGCCGTATGGACGACCAGGGATGGCAGGTACATGGCAAACACAAATGGAGGGCTCTGCGTCGGGATCTCAGCGATCAACGTTATACGCAGGGCAGTCTTGATGGGATTAAACTCGACGCTGCCAACTATTACAGTTCCTGCCGCGCAAATGACGAGAATAGTGACCGCCAGCCATCTAATGAGGTAACTCCGGAAGAATAGATGCCACACTCGCAATGTCACGACACCTGTGTGCACTAGTCAATTCATTTGGATCGACGGGTGCGCCAAAGACAAACATTGACAGAGTATCAAGACCATGAATGAAATAACGTAGCCCCCGATGAGTAACAGGTTTGTTCTGTTTCAAAGTAAGCTGGTCTGTAAGGCATTCATAATGTATAATCGCCCACTCCTGGAAAGCTATAAGTAAAACGCCAAACAATGACACGCGCAACTTGAGAAGTACCCACCGCAGAACTAAGAGTGTTGACCGGTCCTGCTATTCCTATATATCCATTATTCACCAGAACCGTGACAAGTAATATTTACTATAACGAACCATACAGAGTAAGGCTAAGAAATGGTGTTAAATGATGCGCTTTTGATTGCATGCAGTCAAAACGCACCAAGCTTGTATCAGAGCCAAGTATCGTATCTGTCGAATCTAATATTACTGATTGAAGGTAAGAAATAATCGATGACATTACGCTGAGATATAGTGCTCTTGACGCTGACCATGAACCAGACCAGAAGAAATTTATCTAACAAACGACAGCGGTGGATCAGTGTTATATCATCATCGATTGTGGAAGCGAATATACCTCTTGATCTAACGTGATAGCATGGTCGTACACTATAAGGGTGAAAGATGTCAGAGCTAATCCCATAGAGGCGGAGTACGCCGACGCTGTTTGTGGGGACATGGCAAATTACGGATGGACCTGCTAGTACCGAGAACACAGAGCACTCTCTGGTTAGTCACGTTGAGGAAGGTGGACTATGTTATATACCACATATTGACTCAGGCTGTGACGGGTGATGAACAGGAGGCGAAGCCCATCATGAACTCACATGGCCTGCATCTCTCTCGCATTTGATATCATGGCTTATTTGAAGTGTTTCAGGCTATGCTGGGAGGCGTCCGGTCGTCACTATGTGGATGTTCATCAACTGAAACTTACTAAAAGCACACGAAAAGGTTCCCTGAATCATTGATGGTAGCGACTATCTGTTAGAAAAAAGGTACCCACATATTTGGACTCGCCTTGCCATTAAAAAGTATCAATCTCTTCCATGACACAGTCAGTAAATTTTGAAACATGTAATCGGTGGCAAGTAGTAGTCCAGGAGGGTTTGAGCCGTCGTTATTCGCAGGAGTTCCCACGGTATTATTAATGGGCGCATCATGTTACTGCACAATGTGACTTGGGATACTACTGATACTGGTAGTAGCTAAGCTCTGGAACTCGTCAAATGGACACCAGATTGGCCAAACTTGCACTGGTTACACTTCTTGCTCGTTATCTTTTTTGATGGCTCCCTCGTTCCTCGGACGACAAGGCTGTACGATTGTGGAGCACAAAGCCACTCAAACACACCGTCGGAGTTACCTTCATCGCCATTTCTTCCAACGGAAAACCGCTCGTGAGTGGAGACTATGATAGGGCAGTTCGGCTCTGGCCCATCAAGAATACTACTTTCACAGCATCTAGGCTGGATTCCTCATATGGCTTTGCACACCACAGTGAGATACACTTTAAAATCTCCTCCCGGAGCTCGAGGCCATTTCCGATGCGGAAAAGGTGCGGACGATACTCGTTGTTGTTTTTATAATTAAATGATATTCGTAGGTCATTGAGCTTAACCCTTTGTTTCATTATGGATATGAATTGAAGCATGCAACACCCCACGGAGCACGACGCTATGGTGAAGCAGCCGAGGCCTTCAAAATCATGATCTCTAAGTTGGATAATACTCCTGACACACAAACACGACATGGGCCCAAAACAACTCACGTGCCTGATTGAAGACGACTAATTTTGCGGAGTTGTGCTAACAATATGTCAGTCCGTCTGAAGCAGAACATACTACTCGATGAGCCGTCGACACTCACCTAGAAAACGCTCCACTTCGTCTGCTCAACTCCATAACCAAAGAAGCGGTCGTAAAGTATTTCACTTGGGTCATGTTATCGGAGCCGCGACTGCGTGAAATTCTGGACGAGAACGTGTATACATTGTGTCCAGTTGGAACCATGGAAAAATGGCAGAAGTTCTGCGAAGTCGCTCGCGGTGTAGGGCATTTCTGGGCATGGTGCGACACCTACGGCATTGACTAGGGCAACAATGTTGAGCTCCGACAATCGGTCAACTCCACGTTCGTCTGGTACCGCTAATCAACATTCACCATTGTCTGCCTATCGGATGTCCCGACTTCCTTCCCAGTCTGGCGCGCTCGTAAACAGTGTTTGGAACTCCCGAGGATGGACTATTCAGGAGTTTCTCGCTTTCTCTTCTAGCAGGAAAATTGGAGAACCACAAGGAGTCTGTCAGCGTCATGCAGGAGTTAGAAGATGCAACAGCGCCGACTTCCGTTCGATAACGAGAGGTGTCTGAGAGATACTCCTTGGCATCTTCGATGTGAACCTTCCTGTAAGGAAGAGAAAAGACAACGCGTTCGGACGTCTCTTGCAGGTCATTATAGCTTATTTAGGCCACATTTCTACCCTTGACTGGTGGGACAATCATCCAACTCAATAGTTGTCTGCTAGCCGACATTTCATACATAGCTTATTGCCATATTTATCTGAAGATGAAATGTAGACATCGCTCTCTACGCTGCGACGTGCTGTGGCACTTTACGGACGAGACATAGTAATAGGGCGTAGATGATTGGCCTGAGCCTGTCTCTAGTAACAGACCATCCAGTCGGCTGGAGTCAATGAGTCAGTTACTCATGAGTTGAAGGCTCCGACAGACTTTTGACGCTCTTAGGCTTTGCTAGCACAGCAGTGTGTTGAGGAGTATAACAGAATTGCTTCAGACAACACAAGCCAAAAACATCGTTTCTGTTGATGTCATGGCTGATTAGGACGTGATATTGTAGCTGCGAAGAATGGGGATTTCGGGACGCATTTTTATTCATACTTGACAGCACCTGCATGGACAACTACAACTTTGTTTCGTATAGAACTGTACTATACACTATCCCATACAACACTACTGCGCCTAATCGCCCACCTACTCAGTAGGTGAGACTTCACAAGGCAAATTGATGTGCCTATTAGTTGAGTTATTACATTTGGAGTAAAGTCGTGGTTGTTAAGACATCTAAAATCGTCTTTACACCTTCCCTGGATACTCCATTTCCACAGAAGTTGACGGTAGCGATCTGCAGGGAAGAACCACATCCATCTCGTTGACTTCAACGACAATTTCTCCTTCACTGGTCCCTCTCCTCCAGTGGACGCGACTGAGTTCAGCATGATTGAGTAACCATGCTGGATCGACGTGGCAAGTTGCAGCCAAGGACCGGATGCTTAGCATCGCGCGACAGACGGAAATGACTGTGGCTGCTACTGCTATCCTGGGAAGTAGGGGTTGCTTGTGAGCTTCGGTAAACAACGGAGGATGAAGCGACCTTACTCTCCCCCTAGAGCTGAATAGTAAACCTGGCAACGGTTTCAGATTTTAACCAGCCACGCAACTATGGTTATGTAACTTACAGACATCTCCCCTGGTCGAGTCAGAGAAAGAGCGACAATTTCGTACAGTAGCGTTCCTGCGATTTGTCTCAGTGTGTGCAAAACGAGAAGAATCGAGATATATTCACCGGCTGCAAATACATACATAAACATTCCTCTTGAGCGAACGTTAGCTTTCGAACTAGAGCCTGTGACCGACCGACAAGGGTGACCTACTCTTTCAAGAATCGGTGGACAATCCCGCGTCTCGGCAAGGCTGTTGGGGTAATGCCAAAACGATATATCGTCAATGATATCATGGTCGTATGGACAACCAAAGCTGGTAGGTATATCACAAATAATGTCGCAGGGTTCTCCTCTAGGGTCAACGGGTTGTATAATCCGTATACGGCTGTCTTAATATGCCCAAACGCAGCGACGCCTGCGGTTACAACTCCTGCCGCAGAAGCGATCAGAACAGTAACCGCCAGCCATCTAATGAAGCGACTTCGGTAAAATAGATGCCATACCCGCAATGTTACAACACCTGCGCACATCGGTTAATTCGGTGTAATCAACAAATGCACGAAGACGAACATTGGCAGAGTTCCATGATTAGGAACGCAAGGACGAAATCTGTAACAAAAAGCCATTGTACACTATTTCCTGCGTGAACTGGTTTGTTAGGGCCTTGTCACGCATGACTCACTTCTGTGGAAAGCTGTACGTAAGACGCCGAACGACGATACGACCTGAAGAAGTACTTACGGTAGAATTGGGAGTCATGATGTTTCCTATTCGTCTGAGTCGTCAGAGCCATGCCACGTATATTCTCACCGACGGACCATAGAATATGAGACTAATCGATCCTCATCAACTAATGCGGTGTCATGAGATGGAATCAAACACGCACGACATTTGAGTTAAAGCCAAGTATCGGATCTATTAAATCCACGATTGAGCACCGGCAGCAGAATACAACTCATCGACGGCATTACACTGAGATATAGTATTCTTGAAGTTGTCCATGGTCCAGACCAGAAGAAGGTCACCTAGAACAGTGAGTTGAGAGTGGTTTGGTGGTAGATCAGCGTGAGGTCGCTATTGATGATGGAGGCAACGATACCTCTTGGGAGAACGTGATAATATGATCGTACACAACTAGGGTGAATGATGCCACGGCTAAATGCGCGGAGGCAGCGCTCGCAGACTTCTGCATTTGCCAGTCTGTGGACATGGCGAGTTACAGATGAGTCCTGGGATGTCTACAGAAAGCGCTGTTCCGGGAATCGCATTGAGGAGTTAATGTGGACCAACTCTATATAGCAGATGTCCATGCAGAGACGAAGCTGGTGGACCCTTGTGGTAACCTAATACACGTTGAAGTGCTCGAAAAGGATAAAGGATTATATATAGCGTGCAATCATTTTCATCAACGTACACCGCCTTTTCAAAAGTTCATGTTTATCCAAATATGTCCAGATACCTTGTCGTGATTCCACCTAGAACACAGCATCAACAGCACCCTCTCAGATTCGCATGTCTTCCAAGACCATGGACGCTTGCTCTTACTCTCTCCCGCAACAACTTCTATCTCGTGTGTGATGCTCAAATCACCGGATTCAAGTAAATCCAGTAAACCCTATTTTTATTAAAATCTTCGATGCAGTGTATACTAAAAGAGTATGGCTGAAACAGCATGTTGATCACTAACCCTGAATCTGTCAGCATCAGTGGCCAAGGCATAGCGATCAATCTTGATGAGTCTCACTTGTGGGAGTGTCTAGACCATTGAAGTTGCGGCCATTCGAAGAAGCCAGGGTGTGAGAAGGATTCGGAGTCATGGGGAGTTCTGTGTCGCTAGAACCGCCTAGCTCGAAATCTCGTCTTCACTGTTTCCCATGAGGACACGACTGAGTTCCGCGTGATTGAGAAGCCACGCTGTGAAGCGCCGCAGATGTAGATCGAATATTGAGGAGTAACGCATGGCAGACAAAGACAATGGTTGCAACGACGACGACGCTGAGTAAATGATTGGTTTCATGATTTCATTCATAAGTGAGCTATGAAAGCAACACACCCGCCTTATAAACCTATGCAGTGAACCTAGAGAATCATAAGTTGCTGAGCAGAACAAGAAACAGATTTACAATATTCATATCCAGCTAGTCAATGAAAGAACGATGATTGTGCGCAGTAGCGATCCTGAGTGATAGCATGACAAGTATGAAAGTCGATATCGAACTTGGATGCTTCCCGTTGCGCATGGATACCTGATCAATCACCTGAGAATGCATATAGTGAGTGTTTTATGCGTGTAGCTGTACGATCAATGGCGTGCTCTAAAAAAAAACTTCTAGAAGCAAAGAGCGTCTTTGAAATTGGTCGCTCATCACACACCTAGCGCGCTATGGTCCATAAAGCCAGACGCGTACACAAGGGTAAAAACCGTTGGGCTCTTGGTAAAACTCGGGTGCACCATTCCCTTGAAAAAGATCGAAGAGAGAGCCACCTATAAACCTATAGTCAACCCTTAGTATGCACACGGTGTATAGCGACACCCTGTTCCTCGCGAAAAGGCACCAAACACAGAGAGCGATGACAGCTTGCAAGGTTGTCAATAGACGAATGAACAAATTTCAAGCTGCGTACCTTGACACAGCGCCACATCCAGAGTCATCAACGCCACATTTCACAACAAACAATGCCTCGAGGCTTGGTGTGGCGCAAGCCTTGCACGAGGACTAGAGCTGGTGAGGCTCACAGCTGTGAGTGATCTGAGCAACTTGGTACACCAGAATCAATGATCTCTTACGGTAGATTCGGAGAGATGAAAGTGCACGGCATGAATCAGAGATCACCTTTGTCATAAGAAACTTCCTTACGGTACACTGAAAGATGATGAGGAGCGATCATACTGGTTAGACGCTTGGTGCTCACAATGCTCAAAATATCGTATATGCAGATGAACAATCGAGGAAGTTATTGTACCGTGGTCTGTAGAGTGCATCAATGCGATCGCACCAACAATGCAGTCGGGCAACACTGGGGCTGGTATGGCTGAATAAGTGAGGGAGAGTTGTAGGATTCTCGATATAAAATTTAAAGGATTATATATACGCACAATGTGTCCTCTGAGGCAGTGCCTCTCATAGTCATGGCACCTCTCGCGCTGGAGTCACTGCCAGAAGCTCAAAGTAGAAAATCACGCGCTTCGCAACAAAAGTCACTATTGTGGCGGCGAACCTCTCAATCCATCATGCATCATGTTCTGGACTTCGACCATGTGGAAATAAATGCAAAAATGAAGCACCCGTCCGATGAATTTTGTGGTCCTGCTCTGAACAAGCCAAAAGGAACTTCCACGCTTGTCACAGATTTTCACCGCAGATCATCGATGTGTATGATCGTGTTGGGTACAGTGGTAGTACTTGCCATAGCCTAAGTGGTTGAACTTGCAATGTTGCTCCAAGAAAAAGTCCCATTAAGCGTCCCAAGAACTCGACTTGGACACGATGGGACACAATTGAAATGTTGACACATGTAGCGGGCATTGTAGCAGCCCATTGCGGAAATTTACCTAGGTCCCTGGGAGGTAAACTCAAGACAATGTGGCGTACATTACTCACCAATTTTTTTTCAATTGAAACTGATTGAGGCGGGTGTTGTACTAATCGTGTTTGAAATTTATCAAAGACGTAAGTTCCACACTCCTGCAGGGTAAGCGGATTGAATTCAGCTGCCCAAGGGGGAAAAAACTGTCAGCCGTTGTTAGGCCGAACGGTCTAAAACGCGTCCACTTTGACAGAAATGATGTGGTTGAAGCATAACTCCATTGGACGCACTTTGACTAAGCGGGAATGGAGTGGAACGAGATCTGAAATTGATCAGAAGTACTGGCAAAGTAAAGTCTCCATGAATGACAATTTTTGCATGGCATGAATGCATAAGGGCATGCGAGGACAATCGACGTAGATGTAGGTAACCATAACTTCAACACACTCAAGGAGCGAACAACGTGTTGAGGAAAGCCTCTCCAGCAGAGGAGCCCTTGGCCTTCTTTCCTTTCTTGTCTTTTTGTGCCTTGACACGCTCCTGCTTGACTATAACACATCAACGTAACACATGAGTAATCAATTTGATTAAATGAAAGGTAGATAATATACATACGCAACTCTTGTCTGCGGAGGGTCTTGGCGTAAGGGTTCATGCGGAAGAGAACACCCTTGTTGACGAGAGGGTTCTTCTTCTGCGTCCATGGGCGCTTCTGTACCCGTGGGCCTGCAGGGCGAACAACAGATTGAATCTCAGTGCTGTTGATGAGACGAGTAACGTCGGGGTTAGAGATCTTAGCGGTGGGAAGGCTATACACGACAGATCAGTCGAGTAATAAGGCACTGCATACGAGACATACAGGTAGTCCTTCTTGTACGAGGAGGCTTTGTCGAAGGTGCCGAACACCTCATCAAGGAGGCTGAAGGCGCCCTCTGTCCAGATGACGAAGCGGCCAATGTGTCCACCAGGAGCGAGTTGGAGAAGGTTCAACCTTTGGACGTTGACAAGTTCGACACCAGGCAAGTTACGGAAGGCCTGGACGATGCCGTTATCGTCCTTGAAAACGACAAGAGGGCCACGACGTTGACGGTAGCGGCGGTTGCGCATCTTGCCCTTTCCTGCGCGGAGTTTGCGCGAGTTGGAGACCTTGGTGACATCCGTGTATGCATTCAGGGCCTTGAGGAGAGTTATAGCCTCCTTGGTTTTCTTGAAGGACTCAGCTGCGTTATCAACGACAAGAGGAACTTCGGCGATTTGCTCGATACGGTGACCGCGGGCGAGAACAAGGGATGGGAGCGCGGAAGCTGCGAGTGCGGAGACGGTGGCGAAGCGGCGCTGGTTTTGGTTGACCTTGACGTGCCATTTGCGCCAAGTCTTGGTGGGGGCGAACATGCGACCGCCACGGCACATGTTTCCGAAGGCAGCCTAAGGATATCTTGTCAATGATGCAAGATCAGAGATTGGATGGCTATCCACGCACCTGGCCAGAACGGTGGGTACCACCACCACCGACACGAGGAATACGTGCAACAGCGCGACCAGTACCCCAGGATTCAGCGGAAGTCTGGTGGCCGGCCTTCTCGCTGACAGCGTAAGCCTGACGCCTGTTCTTGGCCATGCTCTCTGAGATAATGTCACATTTCTGATAAAGTGCCAAACACTTGTTACGCACTGTGAACCTGGGCGACTACATCAAGCCTGATGGGAGCCGTGAGGACGGCAGGAAGGGGAAGGGAGGTTGAGGCCTCTACATGAGATAGACTTCAGTGTGGACGAAAAACAAGCCGAGAAACGAGTACAAACCTCCGGAGACGGATTGGACGGTAACGGTGGGTCTTGAGGCCATTGTCGTTGATCTTGACGGTCTTGACGGTCTTGAGATATTCTAGCCTGCCTAACGTGTTGATACAGTAAATAGAGTTTGCTAGTTACAAGCCTCAGAGCAAATACGACCAAACAATCTCTTTAAGCAAATTTCTTCACTTTGACAATTAGACAGGAATCGACTTTTAATATTCTACAGACTTAATCCGTCTACGTATACACCAACTTAAATTTGTTCGACCCTCCGGCCATTAAGCTTATCTCCACGACTCGCAGGAACCTTGCCAGCATGTGGTCACGAATTTTTGGCTCAAGTACCCGTGTTATGACTCGATCAAACGACACATCTGCGTCTTTTGGTACAGATATATCATAGTGGTAAAAGAGTGGTTGATTGATTCACGGGAACATTGGAAAAGGAATCCGAGTCAATCACTGGCATTGAGTCTGCAGACACGACATCGCAAATGACTTCTTGTACGGCATTTGCAAGGGACTGCGATCAGGCATCCTCACTTTCACGGAGGGGCCCAGCAGGGTAACCTATCGGTGCAGGTTGTCTGCGTCATATGAAAGTAGTCTCCCCTAGGCAGAACGTTACAGAAGGAAGAAGTTGTCCCTTCTCACACGAGGGTATCTCTATTGCACACCTTATCACCTCTGGAAGAATGAACTCGTCCGATGAATGGAGTTGCAGTTAAGGTTTGAGGTTTGTAACGTGTGGCAGACTAGCACTGACGAGCCTCTGAATCAGCAAAAACACACAGGGAAGGAGATGTACAGTCTCATCTGCAAGCGGTTCACACTGCACAGTCATCTATTTCAAAGATTTCGAGCATCCAAATTTAACATTATCTATCTCCGAGCTACTCGTACGTCCGATGGTGTCTAATTGTCAAGCATAGCATTTACCAAGAGTCTAAACCAAGATGGGCGCGCTGACCACTCATACCAACTACACCGTACACAGGTTGCCTAATTTAAGGTCGAGGCGTGGCGCCCGGGACGGACTGACAGTACTTGGTACAGTTCATACTCTGCCTTATGAGTCATACATGCCCACGGTATACACGCCTGTCACCGTTCAGAAGTGGATATACGAGCTACAGGTTTATTCTGCCATAAGCCCGTCCATGGTGAGTCGAGGCTACATGGAACAGATTCGATCTTTTACTTTTACTGCTCCTCGGCCACGGGGAGTCTCCTACTTTTAAATCTTTTACTGCGGTTATTCATGCCCCTTGCATCACCTTTCGTCGACTATAGGTTTACTAATTGAATACCCAACAGTCCGGCGATCATACTACAACCGTCTTGTCTCACACACTATCATCATGATCGTCTTTGCAAGCGTATCGATCGAACCCCCCTCCGGCCCCGGGCCCTCTGTGAAAGCTTATGTGCCTGAGAGTTTGGATAAATATTTTGGCGAATTTACTCAACAATCTTAATAATATGATGTGCGTCATGACATACAACTGGAGTGTTGGATAACAAATCATTTAGACACAGACAAAGATTGCCAAGGCGTTCTTAGTGATGGATCTTCACGGCAGCCGACCGCAAGGAAATCTTGGCCAGTAACTGCGAATGAATGAATCGTTTGACCCTCTGATTCGAAGGACCTGTGCTGACATCTTCAAGTAAGAAAGCACTCCTACTTCTAATTCAGGAGACAGAACCGAGGGAAGAAAAACGACGGCCAGCGACGAAGACGGGTTTGAAACTCCTGATGATTGAAACGATGTGACGAAATAAGGTACGTCCTCATTTTCCTTAGCAGCCTATATCAACAGTCCACCCACATCAATTATTACTCACTTCCAGCCCCCTCTCTATCATCTCCACTCTATCATCCCCGAGTCTTCTTGAGTGACACGATGAACGCACAGCAATCTAAAACAGTTAGTAGTGACGTGGGCCCAGTCAAAACGAAACTATGTACTGACCTTCTGAATGCCTCAGACTGGATCGACCCATCAGCCGGACCATCTATACAAAGGAAGGCGAGCTTCACTGCCCCTTAACATCGTAGTCATAGGATGCGGTCTGGGAGGTCTCGCTGCTGCGTACTGCCTCGCACAGGCAGGCCACAACATCACCATCCTCGAAGCAGCGTCAGCCATCGGTGAAGTGGGTGCTGGCGTTCAAGCTAGTCCCAACGTCTCACGTCTCTTGATGCGTTGGGGTCTTGGCCCACGTCTCGAAGAACTTGGCGTCAAAATTCAGGCTTTAAGCTTTAAACGATGTGAGTTACATCAAATTGTTCTCTTGGCGCCCTTGTTTAATGACAATCTCCAGGGGACAATGATGAGGTCGTGGGGTGGACGCCGCTTGGGGATGTGATTGATAAGGAATATGGTTCCCCTTTCTACCTCTTACACGTTAGTCATATCCTTATTGCACCTATTCTTTCTGACGAGGAAACAGCGAGCTGATTTCCATCGTATGCTCTACGAAGCTGCTGAGCCATACTGTAACATCCGCGTTAACAGTCGCGTTGTATCCATGGACCCATCGAAACCTAGTGTGACTCTTGCTTCCGGGGAGGTCGTATCTGCTGACCTAGTCATTGGCGCTGACGGAGTCAAAAGTGTTACTCGGGAGTATATTGTCGGTGGGCCCGATAAACCCAGGCCTACTGGAGATTCTGCTTACAGAACCCTCATCCCGGTGGAGAAACTTCTAGAGGACGAAGAGCTGAGACCATTGGTGGAGAAAATGGAATCGAATATATGGATGGGCCCAGGAGGTCACATCGTCGGCTATACTATCGTAAGCCGACTGTTCAGTTAACATGGTTAACATCCCCGGGAGCTAATGCGAGAGCCGGACAGCGTGCCAAGAAAGAATTTAACCTCGTCATGATGCACCCTGATGAAGCTGAAGGGGGCATTGAATCATGGACTGCTGAAGGCAACGTGGACAAAATGAAGGAGACCTACAAGGGATGGAGTACCACGTTAGTGACTCCGTTTTAATCCCCACCTTGTTCATGCTAACTGGTGGCGTGGGCGGGACGCAGTATTCAAAAACTTATGGCGCTTGTTCCGTCAACACTCGATTGGAAGCTGATCGCCCGAGACCCACTGTCTTCGTGGATTCACAAGGATGGCAAGTTGGCATTACTGGGAGACGCATGCCACCCAATGCTGGTTTGTGTAAATTCTCAATCAAAATAGCACATACTGAGTGTCATATCCCCTTAGCCGTACCGCGCACAAGGGTCAGCCATGGCGGTAAGGAGGAGTGAAAACAGTTAAACGAGTGCTGACATCAGAGTTTTCTAGATTGAAGATGCTGCCATCTTAGGCAACATATTCTCGCATTGTTCGCACCGCTCGCAGATCTCGCCTCTCCTACATGCCTACCAATCTCTCCGTTACGACCGTGCTACCGCGACACAGAACTCCTCAAAACTAAACCGGCACATATTCCACCAACCCGACGGGCCGGTGCAAGAGAAACGTGATCGCGACATGCGTGCTGCCATGGAGGACGCGTTACGCGTTGCTCATGGTGAGAAGAGCACACTTGTACTAACAGGCAATGCGAATCAGTGGGCTGATAAGACCAAGAGCGATATCCAATTTGGATACGATGCGGATGCGGAGGCAGAAAAGTGGTGGCTCGAGAATGGAACCAAGCTCATAAATCTCATTCCTTCAATTGAACTCAAGCAAAGAGTTGTACATGCTGCAAATCGCGATCACTAACTCCATAGTTATTTGGATTCTAGACTATTGGCTGCTGTTTAGCTCAGCAGTCCTATCCTACATTAGCACTGTACTTGTAACATTTTTGAATTTTTACAATATTCTAAACATCCCTCAATTGAAATATGATAGCCGCTGTGGTGATTTCATCGGCCGTTGAGCTTTCCTGTCGTGGGACAGGGGGTATGGCAACATTGGCAAGGAGGCGCGTGGCTCTGGGACACGTTTCCCACTTGAGCTCCTGAAAAAACACGCGTGTCTCAAAGTGAGGTGAAATGAAGATTCTTACCTGAGACACGCAGGTTTCGCCACGGAGCCAGCGCGGGATGCGAGAAGTATAACTTGAAAATGCCATGATTTTATAGTCTATTGTGCCGTCAATATTACCTCTGCAGCTCAAAAACTCAAGTTTTGCGACTAAAAGAATTGTCCCTTACGCGGAACACCACACCGGCACACGTTCATCCAACGTACTCAAAATTCTCTGCCACGAACACATTGCAGAAAATACGCGTCTCTGCTTCAGAATAATATTCGCGCGTTAGTTTATCAGTCACATGACCTGGAAAATTTTGGCCCATTAGTATTTTAGAGTTTCTCAGGAACATCGTGGGATTTTTAATTATTTGTAAGCGCTTTGTGACCCCTTTGGGTAACTGCGTTCGTGGGCACCACACCTTGACCACTAAATATTGCGCTATTGTCCTCCTTCAGCTCTCTCGTGTGTCATAATGAGCTTCCAGGACATTGAAACTGGTGTTGCACGTACGGGACAGTCCAGTTTGACAGCACTTCAGCCGCGTGAAGAGTCTGCGTTTCTCTCCTTGCAATCGTCACTTTCACTCCAGGTGTTCAAGATAAATTCGAATGTACAGGGTATTCTCAAGCTGGTCGACCAACTTGGCACTACAAAGGACTCTGCCACGCTTAGGAAGTCATTGTGCGTATCACTCGCTAGGTATTACCTCAGTTACTAAATGCATTATGGGCGCAGACATGACCTCACCGAAACCACGAGGGCTATGGCTAAGCGAGGCTCTGAGGACTTGAAGAAGATTGCCTCAACCGCTACGGCAAGCGTAAATTGATATTTTACACTGATGTTTTTGTCAACTGAATCGGACGTACCAGCCTCAACACAAGACCTCAGTTCAGAAAATATCACATGACTTGCAACTGTCTTTGGTAGCGTTTCAAAGAGCACAACAAGTTAGCGCAGAGCGCCAGAGAACAGTGGTAGAAGGGGTGAAAATAGCAGTAGAAGATGATCACTATGATGATGCGTGCGTTACTTTCCCCGCGAAGGTGCAATAGCCTCATGTCTCCACAGGCTGCGCCAACGAGAGCCAAGCGCGTCTCCCCGACTACGTCAGGCTCAACTTCTTCAGTCACAGCTTTCCCCGCACGAACTTGCGTACCAAGAGTCTTTGATTCAAGAACGAGAAGCGGAAATTCAAGAGATTGAGTCCGGTATACATGAACTATCGGAGATCTTCCGTGACCTTGGGACACTCGTCAACCAACAAGGCGGCATGCTTGGTATGTGCATGGCTTCCGTTATGATCACTGGCTCACTGACACCTTCTGCTATTTCCCCTTTTTCGCAGACAATATCGAATCAAACGTGTATTCCATCGCTGTAGATACCCAGGGGGCAGCCGAGGAGCTTTCGACTGCTTCCGAGTACCAACGCAAAGCTGGACGACGTGCAGCGTGTCTCATGATTATTCTTGTCGTCGTCGTTGCAGTTGTGCTTTTGGCTGTACGTGAAATGACCACTACTGCAGGTAGACTTGACTAATCAACCTCCAGATTTTATCATAGATGTGTGGCCTTGTGTCGTCGCCTCTCATACCTTTGCAAGTTTTCTATTAGCTGATGAATTATGGACCTCGCTGTGGATATGTTTCACCAAGTGTTTTATTTCTAACGTCTATTTCTTATATTAATGCACTTTGATGCGAGTTCATGATACCCTCCCCAGTCAATGTGTGTGTGTGTGGTAAGTTAGAACGAGGATAGATTCCAGTCTGCAGCTTGTATTCTTTCTCGATGTGTGATATGTACGTGATACGTAGTCTCACATACGTATGAAATCAGAGTTCGTATCTTACATAAAACGATCAATATTGGACGTTGTCCTCTCCCACTGTGTAGCGCTTTGTGGACCCCCACACGTGTTAGACTATGACTTCTATCTCGGCTGTCTTTCGCTCCTGCTAATACCCCGCTTCAGACAGGAGGAATACGTCAGAAACGACGCGTAGGCTAGCAAGCGGCCCGAAGGCACATCCATTTCTGTTCCGCCTCGACTCGGAGGCATTCGATTCCCACAAGCTGAGCGCGCTTTACTCAAGGCTCCAGCCTGTTCGTACATAGCACCTTACAGCATGGAGCTCAAAGTAACTCCTGTCCGGGAAACTTCTAGAGGAACCTTGAGTAGACATCTTCAATGAACACCGAGGGCGCCAAACTGCTATGGATTCACGGATTACGCTTAGAAGCTTGCCCATCAGAACACCTGCTCCTGATTATTCTGGAAATATGGAAGATAGAGAATTGTGCGGAAATGTATGGTGTGCTTCGTTCTCAAGCTTTTCTCTATTTCCGACTTCATCGTCTAGTATCCCCAAAAAGACCATCATTGTTGCTGAACATCATGTCCCGGCTAAAGGTTTTCTAATCCCACCGCTTGGCCACCTCCATGCCCTTCGCTTACTTGAGTACTACCAATCTCGGCAGGCGACTTTTTCAACGGCGGAGCGCTGTAGATGGAGTCTCATCAGTGCATCTTTACCGACTGCTCAGGCTCAGTCTCATCTGCGTGGCTTCCGCCGGCAAATCGTTTATGCGCGCCTTTTCACGTTCATTTAAATTCTAATGTCCCGTGTTGGCATTCGCCCCTAACAGCAAGTTTCTTTTAGTATCAATGCGTTTAACGCACCGCAGTCCACGCGCAAAAGGCGACTCCCATTGCTCATCACATTGCGGTTCAGCGAAATTGAACCTTGGACTAGAGTTTACCCGCTCTATCCGAGCGCGTCAGAACACCTCCCTTGTGGCGTTCGAGGCCACTTACCCATCGCTTTATTCAGGGTACCTCATAGACGTGTGATCTCGGTACCTTTGACACTAGCATCCTTGACGTCTGTGCCAGCCTCACCTGCATTCTATTTCGCCTTGCCAGAAGGTGAAGCGCGACTGATGCGGTCCATGTAACGCCGTCTAGAGGTCCATGGTACCACGTCTATACCACCAGTGTATCGAGATCTTTACATCCTGTCGTTATCTCCTGCAACGTTTTCGAGGACGGTCTTCCTGAAATGCAATGATGGATAATCACATTGACAGGTCCCGAGTCTCGACTCTCCACTCCAATGGGGTTGAAGTTCTAAATGACTTTTGCAAATTGCAAGTATTGAGGTAATCAGGGTGCCGCAACTCTTCCCTATCGATTGATACGAACTTTGGATTCCGAGATTACCTATTGCAGTGGTATTCTGATCATAAGCCTTTGATCTAAGATTTCATTCTGTCGGTGGATATGCCATCAGGGCGTTCTCGACGAATACCTCTGATCAAGCTTTAATCGAGCCTATCGGTCTTTATCCTGTGCATGCCCTAGCCCGCCCGCCCATGACACAGATATTTAACAAGCACGTTGAGTCCATTACCAAGATCAGACAGTCGTTCAACGTTCAACACGTGCATGCATGATTTCATATCAACAAAATATCAGACTAATACATTATAACCGAGTTAAATAACTCCAGTTATACACCTTTTGACGTTACATAGTAACGATGTTTATGTATTTCCACCATTGGTATAAAATCATTGTCTATATACGATAGGATCTGAATGAAGGGTGTGGACACCACGCAGAGTGAAACAAAAATTATAGTTTGATAGATCGAACAGGATGAGCATCAGCCCAGCAACCTGTCTGTCTCTCCAACACCATTCTGTCGGTCCTTGCGTGTGAGCCCACGACAGCCCCGCACCATATATTTCACCCCGTCCACTGCTCGGCTGAAGAGCCAGTTCCTCGCACGCCAGACCGGATGCTCGCGTACATCGACGCGGTCTGGGCGGAGGCGGTCCTCGTTATCGACGACGATAGCCAGCGTTGTAACCGTGGTGATAATCGCTGCAAGTGCTGTGGAGGCGGAAATCATAAACATGATAACCATCTGGAGCCGCGCTGCCTGCTGAACTGAAGAGCCACCAAGTATGGCACCTGAAACCCTTGATCAGTATGACCATTCGTCCACATCGTGGCGTAGATTCTTACCGGTCATCATGCCTGGAATAGCAATAATTCCGATCACGCTATTGTCAAGGGCAAACACTGAATTAGAAGCAGTTTGGTATTTTGAATGGTACGAACCTCATTTGGCTGATCGTTGGAGCCAGTGCAAGACGGAGAGCTTCTCGTGCAACAGGCCTACACGCTTCAAAACGCGATGCTCCAAATGAGAGGTACATTTCGACTTTGTCGCGATTGTCGCTGGAAGAACGTTGGTTAATATCTACATTTTAAGTACATTAGTGGCACGACTTACTATATCTCCCGCAGTACATAGGATACGGCAACAACGATTCCCGAGACCGTGCCTCCACATAACATACCAACAATTGGAACTTGTAGTTGCAAGTCAATACCACTGATCTCGCGCAAAGAGATCATGACATACTATATTGTTCGGGCTTCCAGAACGGCTCTATGACCATGGCGAAGCGGATGCCGATGATAGAGACAGGTATCGTCGAGCACAGCATACCAAACAGTACGCAAGAGAACTACGGAACTGTTCAGAATAGAATATAGATACAATCATCGTAGAACTCGCCATGTAATTGTAGCGCTTTTTAGACTTGTTTACAACTTCTCTGCGTTAGGGACCGAGACAATAGCAATAATCGCTTCAGACATACCTGCCTCGATAGTTCCCAGTAAATTCATCAAAACTGGATACCATAATTCTAGTGCTCGGCTACCTCGAGTGAATACGAAAAACGCTCACATGCAATTCCGCCCACTGCCCATGGATTATTCGTCTCGAACACTTTCTGCAACACCATCGCTACTAGCCCCAACTGCACTACACATCGTATAGCCGCGGAGAGCAGCGACGATCCTACTCCGAGTTGTAGCGAAGTAGAAATGAGGGCATTGAAAATAATGAAGGAGAAGCCGAGGCCGACGTTGCCCCAATCCAGGTGAGTAGAATCTGTAGGTGCACCGTCCATGGTTTCTGGGAAGACAAATCAACTGAAGGCTGAGCCTGGGTATGACCACACGATTTGTGGTATTTGAACAACTTGCGAATTTGGAAGCATTCGAAACCGAAGAGTGGAACCCGTGGCCAGCCGCCAATAACGTTGAGCAGCTTACACATTAATATAATATCGTAACGGCGCTTGGTTCCTCGCGACACCTAAACTTACTATGAGCAATGATCATCTAGAGTCTGTGTATCAATGCATTATGAGTTAAACCTCTACATAGTACATACAGTCTCCACACATTCTACAAGTACAGGTTAAAATGGAATAGACACAACATCATGTTCACTGTTTGACAGCGCTTCAGCATCTTATCATTGACAATCATAGCGGACGCACCACGATAAGAAGCAGCCTGAGAGTCCAGTACTTTTGGCGCGTGCAACACTTGTGAGTGACGGGCCCCGAGAACGCTCACCCACATACCAGTACTAGTTGTACATTTAATTTTGTGATTCAAACAAAGGATCATTGATGCACGGCACCCGGTAACAAATAAGGTAATTCATTTCCACACATTGGCAGAATCAATCAAGTAGGTGTCAAGCTTGTAAATTCAAAACTTTTCTCAAGGATAGCAAGGTACAGAAGATATATACACAAGTATCATCTTACTTCACTCTCTCTAGTATATGAAGCTGGTCGTTCGTCTCCATCTCCAACACGCTTAACCACTGATGAAGGGGAACTTCCAGAACCTTGGCGATGCCGCCCCGAGGGAGATTCCATTTCCATCTTGAGAACCCCTGCACGCTGTCTACCAACTTCCATCGACCGGTCCTGGTGAACTCTACCGAAGACTCGGTAATGAGGTGAGTGAGCGGCGTTGATGTTGTAAGATCGCGTGGGGACAAATTTTCTGTCTTGTTGTAGACCCAATCATTTGTTGCTGGTGCAGTCATGGACGGGATATAAGGTGGTGAACGACTCTGAAGAAAGAGCGAGGCCCCAGTCTGGGCTGCAAGGTTAGATATGTGAACTTGCACTGCGATGGTGTTGTCAGCGAGACTCAGAAGCTCATTCACTGTGGCTCATACCAGCATGCTGGTCTGCATATTGATCGTTGAATGCTACGAGTGCAGAACCACCAGGGTAATTTGCCATCGACGCACGTGTCGATACGATAGTGATGGCACAATTCAGAGCAAGGATGCCCATAGCTGCGAGAAACATCATTCTTCCGAAAAGACCACCTTTCCTTCGAGATACCCTGTTGAAAAGCTCAGTGTGCCTCTGATCGAACGGAGTAGAAAATATGGATACTTACATCCACCAGGCACCCCGAGCGGCTGCGATATTGAATAGAGGAACAACGTAGATAATGAAACGCCATTCTTTGTGACCCAAACAACTGATGAGGGCAATAAAGAGCACTGGGGGGTACATTAGGGCCCGGACACGGTTATCCGACATAGCTCCGAGTATAGCTAATGGTATGGATCCAAGAAGAAGTTTTGGAAGGTGTGAAAGGAAATACGCGTGCACAGGTGAGGTCTGCATAATGGGTGAGAGACGCGAAAGAAAAATAAAGTAACAACTTACGCCCCAATCAGAACTCTTGCCTTGATATACATTGAAATATATACCATGCATTTCGGGCCACAGTGGCCACTGGTTCCACATGTATGAGTCGATGGTAACGGTTAAAACTATTCGGTCAACAGTTGCAGACCTTTCAATGCACAAAGAAAAATACGCACTAATGGACAACATGCCAGACAAAAAACCAATTTTAATCAATCTCATAAAACTGATATGCCGGAGAAGAAGTGCTTGGACGGCAAGAGGAGCTAGTAATAGCACGACTTCCGAGCGCAACACAACGGCAGTGAACGTTAGTAAAGCAAATGCAACATCAGCACTCCTTCTTGCAGGATACTGGGACTGCGGAGCTCTGTCGTACAACGCGTAGAATGCAAGGTTGACTTGTGGTTGTCCTTTGTTGAGCAGAGGCTTGTGTCGCAGGAAAATCACCTACCAGGGAACAATGCGAACATGTTTGGTAATGTTCTGCCCATCCAAAACGGCAGATGAAATTGCGAACATATCAAGAGGACATACATGAGGCCAGTTGGACGACCAAATCGTCTACATACAGCCCGTCGTATCAACATGAGACCTGTTGCATTTAGCGTAGCAAGGACCAAACGCACTATGAGAAAGGTCAAAACGCTGTAAGCCAAGTGTTTGCATATAATCAAACCTGCTATCTGAAGATCGAGTTTTGTGCTTAGCAGGCCCCACTGACTCGCTACATAGGCGACAGGTGAAGTGAGCCACGCAAGGAGAATGCTTCCTATAAACGTCCGCGGTACGGCACCTGGAAAGGTGTTATGGTCAAACTTCGCAACAGATCAGATACGAAGAGATAGGATGAAAAGGCTTCATGCCTTGTGCAAATTATTCCTCCCAACTCCATACATAAGAACATCATGGGTTGCGTGCAGGTTGAAACTTTCTTCGACTTTCGTGTATGGTGCCAAAAGAACATGAGCCCAGCTGGTCGCTAACAAGAGTAAATCCATAGCAAAGCTCATCGAGAATTGAATGTGAGTACCACTGTTCTATGTCCTCAACGCTGAGCATGCAACCGAGGATATGGATTTTACAGGTGCCGTTCGACCGGTACCTATTTCAATTTCTGGATGCTGACGTAACAGTAATGTGTAGTACTTATGTAAAAGTTGGGGTAAAAAAAAATTAAAAAATCGGCCCTGCTAAAGTTATGTAAATGTATAGCAAACTCGAGTCGAGCTCCTATGTAGACCACCCCAGTACTTAGACAGGGACCCAAAGACTAACCATGCTAGTGTATAACCTGATCGATTGCTTATATCAAGGAAGAACACTGCGTATTGTAACTATTGTTACTCCTTTGTCGCAAAGTGAAATTGCTTTAAGGAAGGCCAAGCGGAGGGCTCAAGCATGGACTGCACTTCCGGAGGGAATTGCACTGGTATTGTGGAGCCTACTTGCAAAAACAGGCGCAGTGATTGCAAGCCTGCTTCCACAAGAGGCTCAAGCCCCTGCAAAATACACTTGATAAGGTCGCTATCCTGGGCACGAGGCCTAGGTCCATTGATATGAAGATCAAATGATTTCAGCGACTTTCCAAGCTTCTCAACGATGATAGGTATGAGGTAATCAAAGACGGTCACGACACCGTGATAATACCCGTTTGGCTGAAAAACCAGCGTATGTAGGTTTGTTGCTGCAAGACGTGATATGAAGAGGGTGACGGAAGACATTGATCCACGAACATCCAACTGCTTCAATGCAGGGAACATCGGAGGAATGGCTTGCCAATTCATGCTCAAGCGATCTTGGAGGTGGATTTTGAGGTCTGAGATAGGTACCTGGGACAATAGCGTGCAAAGAGTTGCAAGCTCGGGGGCACGAATATAAGCATTGCTTAGATCGAGGCTCTCGATCTGCCCGAAATGAAGTTGGGGTGTTGAGTGCAACGTTCGCATTGTCCGCATGAGACCAATAATGCGCAGTTCCTTTAGATGCGGTGCTTCAGCGACAGCGCGGTCAAGTACCAATTCAATAGGGTCACAATCAAGCGCGTCGCGACACACGAGAGTGAGAGATTGCAGGGAGGGGGGAAATGGCTTCGCTTGCGGGGAAATTGGCCCGTAGAGGATATAGGACAGACTGCGTAATTTTGGGAAAGGATGACATCCATCCTGTCCTCGAATGACTGTGAGACGTGTATAACATTCCTGGTTTTTTACGAGGTCTGCGCAATTTTTGACGTATTCTCCTATGCACAAACTCCATACTCGTGCAGCGTATTTGTCGAACGTTTTCCAGTCGTTCGATGGGCGATACTTTAGGAGATCGCAGTCTGTCGTCCGGGAGTCCTGCAGATATAACGAGGATTGGCATCGGCGACAGACATGAGATGAGTCACTTACATTCGCAAATGACGCGCTTTGTGGAATCAACGAAGTGAATGGCGCAAAGGAGTGCATAGATCTCCAGAGGACATCGAGGGCAGGATCTGTAAATGCACGACAACAGCAGGACATGTGGTATAACGACTTCTTGTCGCCTTGCAAACCATCAAGGATAACTGCGAGAATTTCCGAGATGCAGAGAGTCTCAAAAGGTCCTCGCATGATCAGTCGAGAAATTTGTTCGTAAGTCACAGCACATACAAGACAAGACCACAAATTGTCCCACTGGCTGGCTGGTAGAAGCAACTGACACGAGGCCCCGACCAGGCATTACGTCCAGAGTCCGGACTATTACGGCAAAGAACGGTTCAGCCTGGCTTGAGATTCAGAATGTCGATTCAACGTGAGGTAGAAAAATTATCATTAATTATTGTGTCTGAGGAAATTATCCATGTTCAAACTTCAAAAACTTAAATAAGTTTTGCAAAGACGCCTTGACAATTGCAACTCGTGAAATCTGAATCACAGGTTTATTCTTGAAATAATTTACTAATACATAGTAATACGATGCCGGCACTTGAATAAAAATACAGTAACAAACCAGACGAAAATCACATTGACTTCCTCGTCGACCACATAGTATGGCCTCACTTTGTGTCTTGCGGGTGAGCAACCAGCTTTTTCCCGCTTACTTTCGCCGCCTTCATTTGTTCCAACCCTCCGATGATTCCTTCAAGACCATCAGGAAGAACTTCGTACCTAAGAGGCTATATGAGGTAGGTCAGCGGCAGTGAGACTGGGATATGCTTGATACCTCACCTTAATGGTCCCCGCTTCAAGCCACTGCGAAAGAATGGCCCACGACCCCTTGCAAAGCTCCTTGTTTTCTTTCGCATGTGGACTTCCGAATGTCACAATAACTTGGCGTTCCTTTCCTTCGTCTTCTTTGACTGATGCCGGAAGTGTCAAAACTAGGCATCCTTTCGCATCGAGGATCGACCATCCAACCCGCTGTGTCTCAGGGAGAGAGATGGCATCATACACGTACTTGATCGGGTTCTTTGTAAATCCGTCGATAGCAGCCTTGACAACGTCGGCAGAAAGGTGCCTGTTCAATACATGGGTAGCCCCAAGCGACTTCAGGTACACTTCATGGGCAGGCGACGCAGTCGTAATGATAGGAGAGAACCCAGAGAGGCGAGCCAGCTGAATGACTGAAAGGGGAAGGTTAGAATGATACTTCTCTCGACAGCAACTTACCATAAGACCCAACAGCTGAAGCTCCACCAAGAATGACGATCGGAGTCCCGGAGTACATGCCAATACCGTCCTTTACCCAGGGTGGCGTGAGGCCAAACCCGTACTTGCCAACAGAATACAGGCCAGTCGAAGCAGTGTCGAGGGCCAATGGAATAGTGGCTGCGTCATCATATCCCGAATTATCCGGGATCTATATGCTGTCAGTACCGATTCAAATCCTTTGCTAAGAACATGCCTTCGCAGTGAAGTTCGTGTCGCCGAGTGCGAACTGTTGGAAACCAGCTTGATCGTTTGAAAACTGGCCATGCGTGAATCTATAGCGAATAAGTTAAGGAAGCGACTCAGGCATAACTCAGGGGCTGATAGTGCTCACACTCTGTCTCCCTTCGCGAAGTTGAGGACGCCTTCTCCTACTTCGTCGATGATACCAGCAATATCCTCACCGAGTACTGCTGGGTATTTTTCGACAAAACCCCCGAGTTCCTGAACTTTGTAGTCGACAGGATTAAGGGCTGCAGAGTAAACCTTGATCAAGACCTCATCCTTCCCGGGCTTCGGGATGCTGTTCAAACCAATAGCGAATTGGCCGTGCTTGGACTTAAGGAAGAGTGCTTTTTGTTGCTTTGTATCAGACATGGTTAGGAAGATGAGAGCGTGCGGTAACGATTGAAAGCGACTCTACATAGGGGTCACATTTTATATACGACTCCTAGTCGCGACCATTTTGAAATGATGACACATGCAAGAAGCAATTCATATTGAGTCCAAAGAAATGAAGGTAATGCAGGGGGTATCTAGATAAAATAATGATCATATATGGATGTCCCAGATCGCCCGTGCAAAATTGTTAGGTTTCTTGTGGCCGAACTACCAATTTCACCCCGTCTACCTTCCCAGCGTTGAATCTCTCGAGCGCATCTGGTATTGCGCGCAGCCCGCCAGATAATAGCTCGACGTTGTTTGGCTGAAAAAATGTTAGAAGACACCTAGAAGTAAGGTTTAATTAATACATACCCGTATGTGACCCTCTTCGACCCATCTCTCAAGATGAGCCCACAGCCTCTTCCCCGTTTCCCAGTTCTCGTCTGATTGCGGGCTTCCGTCTACAGGAACCACCTGCCTACTGTCATGGCTGTCCTTGCTAATCAAGGATGGCTGTGTGACAACAAGCTTCCCTCCGGGCGCAAGCAATGACCAAGCAGCCTCCTGCGTCTCTGCTGTGGATATGCAGTCGTACATCATATGTATGCGAGAGCCCGTAATTTTCATCACGGCCTGTTTGAGTGCTGGCAGTGGAAGATATCTGTCTATGACGTGGTTTGCTCCGAGACTCTTCAGACGTTCCGTGTGCTTCAGCGAGGAAGTGGTAATGATTGGTGAGAAGCCCGATAGTTTCGCTAGTTGGATAACTAGTAGCAGTGATGTATTAGTAAGATGACTTAGCTGTGGCAATGAGCCGAGCTTACCGTAGTTGCCGACAGAGCCGGCACCACCGAGGATCAAGATGGGCCAACCTTTGTACTTGGACCATCCGCCGCGCTCCCAAGGTGGAATGAGACCGATACCATTGATAGTACCGTACATCCCGATCGCAGCTGTGCCAAGTCCGCATGCAATAGTACTTGCCTGGTCGAGCGATAAGCTTCTCGGGACCTGAGTAATATCGATCAACACGAGTCTCGACTACCGATCGCGGGGATTAACTTGCCTTAGCTGCGAAGTCAGTTGTGACTACACAATACTGCTGAAAGGTTGCCAGATCGTTATCGTCAAAGGCACCATGGAAGAATCTAGCCGAAGTAACGATCAATCTCGACGAACGTGGCCATTATAGAAATGAGATGGCATACATTCTTTCCCCTGGATTGAATTTCGTAACACCTTCACCGATTTCTTCGACGGTGCCAGCACCGTCGGTGCCTAGAACTGCAGGATAGCTGTCGACGAAAGTGCCATCTCTATGGATCTTAGCGTCGAAAGGGTTGAGCGCAGTGGCCTGGAGTTTGACGAGAACCTCGCCAGGGCCTGGCTTGGGGATTTTGCGGCTAGCGACGGTAAAAGCCGCTTGCTTGGATGGGATGATGAGTGCGAGTTGTTGGTCAGGCATATCAGGGATTGAGTGGAAGTCAAATGTTGAATGGATGGAAGGGCTTTGTTCCTGTGCGAAGATAAAGCATTGGACGTGGGTATTTATATCATTGCTATTATTTACCTGACTCAACGGAAGCGAATGGAATGAAGTGTTTAGGGACACCTCGTGTATTGTGTGAGGCCCTCGTCCATCTAGGCGTGATAAAAACTGCACAGCTTTATCGAGAAGCCTTAATCTTCGACGGATAGGTCCGGAGGGCTTGTTGCTGGTGGACTGCTGCATGGGGTTGGTGAGCCAACGATGAACACGAGGCACATAAGAATGGAGCGTTATACTTACAGTCATTGTGCTTATGACGTGAACTCCGATTAGGTACAGAGGATATTTCGTTATACAGGAAGGAATTGTGTGAGCTTTATAGTCATTGGTGCCACAACCCACGAGGCAGTTACGCTATTTTGCGACATTTTAGGGCCGCACAGAGTGCAATTGATGGAAATTCCCTGCACAGGAAACTCCCTCGTGCGCTCCACAAGTTTGTCCTATGTGGAGCTTCGTTATAGAAGCAGTCAAAGGTACGTACAAAATTAACGCCAACCTCGAGGCTGGCAAGTTGGACGCCGGACGTTTCACGTATAGTCCAGCGAGCGGTCCCTGGATGCGCCTGGAGACCAGACCAGACTAGACCACATTAGTGAAAAACACAAGGTGCACAGCCTAGCCCACCTTCCCCTTGCACATGGAAGCCCATTTCCTTAAGAAATAACGTTTGCCTCATTTCCGAGGGATGCTGAGCGCCAGGGCTGTGATCAGGCAAAATCAAATAGCGCAAAAGCCGTTATCATTTCTAGCTAACTAGATCCACGTCCAGCATGGATATCTAGGCGTAGGAAAGTAAGAGAATTCATCGGAGTATGGTTCATCAAGAAGACACCTTGATTAAGAGACGGTACGTAGAGTGAATTCAGCTGATCTGAAAGGTGGAGCGGTGATTGCACAAGACGGACCGTGATCGCAGGCTATTAAAATCGATCGAGGATTAACAGGTGAGAATGAACTATGTATACGATTAATCTGCTCGTTCAGGGTTTGGTCAGCGAGAGCTCGAGTATCCCGCAAGAACATACCTATCAAGAAAACGAACCACGGCCGATTGTACAAGATTGAAATATAATTAGAGCATGACGAAGGGATGGTTAACACCAATGCAGATTTGACGCCAATTAAGTGGCAGATGGATACGGAAATGGATGAGGATGCAATGCTGTTCAATGCTCTAAAGCATTTCCTTCGTTACGGTGTGCGGGACGGGGCCATTATTGGAGCGGAAAACAGTCAAACCTCGATGCGCGTTTTCTCATGCATGTGAATGTGACAAAGTGAGAGTCCAAAAAAAAGACGTGGGTCGGAATTACGTTGTGTGCGCTTGTGCTTTCAGCGATCGGGCTATTGTGGAGAGATTAGAAACTTACCTATAAGGTAGTGATACTCCTCAACGTCTCACTGACTCCGCATGCTGTCACTGGACTCCAATTTTACCCTCTTGGCACTGCGGGTAGTGGTTATTCTTTCCTCGAGCCTTTTCACTTGTGCCTTCGTAGATTGGGTGTCAGTGCTTCTATAAGCATATCGCAAGAAAAGATCTGACTTTCAGCGCATTAAGCTCACGCAAGGCTTCATCATCTATATCTGAGCCTGTCCCATCGTTGTAATCTTCCGATTCTGGTACGTCCACAGGAGCTTCACGCTTGGTTCCCCATGAAGGTTGCATAGGTGGCGGGGCAATACCATCTGCCACGAGTCGATCTAGTAAGGATATATGAGTATCAGAATATAATTACCGACTATGTTTTGCACACGAACCAAATGGTCTGTACCTGAAAACAAATGTAGCTGTGGGGGTTATTCCAACGCGCGCCACGTTAATTACCTGTTGCGGCGGCACGCGGATCTCCTCTCCAAACCTAAGATCGTGTGTGACTTGGGTGACGAGATGGAGCAAAACTACGCACCCCACACAGTGACTTGATGCCTTCTTTGAGCGCTCGTGGACTATCGTCCCCTTAGCAGAGACTGTATTTTTTCGGTAGCCCATGCCGATCACACTCACAGGCCAGATGGCCAAGGAAATTTCTCCGAGCTCTGCATGTGCAGAATTCAGGTGTTGATCTTCATCTATAAGTATATGAGCATCCTTCTGGAGTCTGATGGTTTGCATCAGATAACACTGACCCGTCAGCTGGAGCCTCGAAAAGGTAAGCGGACGGATGGAATTCATCGATGTGTTGACGTATTTGAATTCCGCAGTACATCTCTGATACGTCGGTGGCTCATTGAAACCTAAAGCACGCATTAATTGACCCCCTCCATGTATGCCATCGAGTGTCACATCTCCTGTTTGGTGATACTGGCGTGCATAGTTGATATCTTGCCATACTACAGAGAACATCTGCAGGAGCGACAGGAGGCGGCGTTGGGGGTCGCCTCATGTACAAATTCACGAAGTACACACCTTTCCTGCTTCCGAAGCAATCCAACAGGTCACCTTATTTTCTTCTGGAAACATCTCAATTCCATAGCTCTCCAAAGCTTGTCCATCGACCCTGATGCATGCTCGTAGCGTCCCATAGGATAGCATTGAAGGAAAGGAGAATGATGACGTGGATAGCTTCCAATCGATGTACACGCGCTTAACCAGGTACAGAAAGGCGTGCAAGGAATTACGCGTGCTTTTATCCACTAATTAAATTTGAAACTCAGCGACACCAAGGAACGCGTTCACGTCATGTGATATATCCTAAAACTCTTCTTTTCAAACCAAACTTGTTGGTACGTTGATGAACGTTCTTCACAGCAACTGAATAACGTTACTAGTACCTCCTCAGTGGCTATGGCCTGGTGCTAGGCACCTCTAGACCACTTGGAAATGCGTACTTCTCGCTGTGATTTTAGCCCGGACCATGCCCACTCGCGATCACATCTTGGAGATGGTAAATGCTTCTTGCAAGCTTAATCTTCGATTTTCATGGACTCATTATCTGCTAGTCTAGCAGCTTTGTGATACTGCCGGAACAGTGGAAATGAGGTCAGACTTTACAAAACGGCTTTTCATCTGAGCTCAGGGCCATTCACAAAAGCACGTCACAATGTGCTGACTTACGGTCATTTCAGACAAGTCACGATGCATGCCTGACCCGTAAAAATGGATGACACGTGAGGAACGGCACATAGGAGTTGACAACGCTGATGGTTCACATCGGCCGATGTAACGGACCGCCAATGTCCAGCGCTCTGATTCCTTCTTCAACAGGTTGGCAACGGATCATGGACCAAAAACATGAGGTGTCTCTACGTGGAACCACTATCACATACGGACTAGTACTCCTTCGTGTCAACAAAGTCCGAGGAGTTGATGAAGATCCGGAAAGGCGGCCGAGACTCAACGCAATCCATGTCTATCACTCAATGCCGTTACTATTTTGATAAGGCGCCATTATACTCCAAACAACGCGTTGGTTAAACTCTAAACTTCTGGACAATATATGACATTCACATTTCTTCGTTTTCAGCTTTGTGACAGATATATACAAAACTACTGTTTCCACTACTCCTCTCAGCCCCCCTTTCAAGAGTTCTACGCCACTTTACCACTTCGGAGAACATCAGAAAGTTATCAGGAGAATCGATGTACGAGTCACCGTCTTCATGTGATGTCTCAATTTCAACCGCGAGTGGTGTCATGCGATGTGATACTGACCAGGCGGTACAGACAGGCACCATGGACGAAACACGGCATAGATTTTGAGGAATCGAAAGAAGCATTCGGGCCGGTACAGGACATCACACCGAGGACGCCATGTTTGTATACTATCCCTTCCGGTGCAATCGGTACGCCAGACGCTGGCAGTCACGCAAATGCCACGGCACATATCGACAGGTGTCGATATTTTTACGTGGCTTCGGCACTTTCAACTATCTCACTCCATTCTACTCCAATTCACGTGGTCGTTCAACATCATAATGAGTCATAACAGAGAATGATATCCGTGTTTATAAACACGAGTTTTGTGAAAGTACCGACTTGTGTGGGGTACCGATTACACCGGAAGGGTAGAATTTGAGAACAAGCACCTGCCGGCGGCAGGATCTACTCAAGGCTGTACTGACGTCAGACCGGTAGTCTCAATGGCAGAATAAATCCCCGCTCACGAGGATGACGGTCCTCCTAACTTGATTCGGAATCCCGAGTCCCTGTTTTTGCCGCGGGCGTTTCAGCTCATTCTACACTCGTTAGGTGATGACAAAATCAGGCGAGTTGATCCGGGATCTTCTCTAGCAGTCCCGTGAAGCAACCGGCTTCCGGTCCACCCATAGGCAGTGAGTGCTTCCGGCTAATAATCGCAGAGAGCGACAATTGACATTCATTGTGTTCGGTACAGAAATCGGAGACAAGCTTACCGATGACCATAAGATCAGTCAAATAGGAGGTTTGTCTGTACCAGAGGTTCTCTTAGCTTCGTCTCCGAGGCTGCAGTTATGGTAAATGAGTCAAGTCCCAAAATATGACTGCCATTCGCACGATATACTTCTTAAATGTCCCAATAGCTGTATATACAATTGTCAGACGAATTCCCCCGTGATCATCCAAGGGCAGTAGGTAGCCGTCATCATCTGAATACCGCTCAGCATGATGATCATGAAGGTCTAGATACCGGTCAACAGTGGAACAATATCAAGTCGCCATTGTATTGCCGGCAAGTACCGGCGGTCGAGGAGATATGAAAGTCGCGAGTTGGTCACGAGAGCTAATACATAGTGCGCAGTACCGCATCATTGATAAGTCATTGTAAACGTTGCGTGCGTTTCCGGATGTCCTGGTACCAACCGGAAACACTTGAGCAAAACGACATTGAGCTCCTTCCTTATGCCGCGACATTCGGAACGCTAGTTGAGAGGATGTGATCTTTCCTTCCTTAGATACAATCCAGGTACCTAGTAGTCTCCTATCTCAAGGGGGAGACGGCGGTGCCACGAAATCTTCGATCGCGAGCGCTGAGTTCATTTCCATCAACCGCAGCGCAGGCCAGGCAGAGAAGTCTCCGAGGAGCATGGGTGTGGATATTCGACCCTGCCACGGGAGAAAGAAAGTGATAAAAGTTTGTTTACATTAATCTTGAACTAACTGATATTGAATATTGAACGTTGGAACTTCTGAAACCTCGGAGTGCAAGCTGTTATTATATGAAGTCTATATACGACTTGGAAGGCCATTATAGAGTGGTTGTAGAACAAGGCGTAGTACTAACAGTACATACACAAAAGTATTACTCAAGTCGTAAGCGTAACGTCAGGACTCGTTGCGACAGAGTTTTAAAGTTCTGCACCTATACACATATATAATGATGATGACTACTTCGAACCACACAGAAACTATTGATGTAGCGTGCTTCACATCTTGCAGATAATTGAGTTCCTAGAAAATGCATGATGGTGTCCATCACACTGGGAATTTGATTGCTTACCTCGGAACGGAGGGATATAAGCCTGAACCCAAGAAAAGAGAAACTAATCCTCAGTGAGATCAATAACCTCCATAACAGCGGGTTTCCGTCGCGATCCCCCGTGTTCCAACTTGACAAGCGAGGGCTTCTGATCCTCTACTTGTGCACGCAAGCGCTGAAGCTCCATCTACAAGATGAGAATGAGCCGGAGGGAAAGATATCACCAAAACGAAAAATTACCTCTAGCTCTCGAATCCTTGCCAGTGGCTTGACATCCTCTGAGGGCAAAGACTCATCAGGCCCATCCATGACTTCATTGTCATCGTTATGATCATCTATCTCTGTCTCTGTGTCTGCCACGATTGATGTACGTGGTGCCACTCCCATTGCTTGCAGGATGTCTGGGATTGGTAATGTGCGTGAGCGGTGAATGCGCGTAGAAAACATCGTGGCCCACCCAGGCGCGTGTACTTGAATACGAAGATAGTCTTTGGAGTATTGTCTGGTATGATCTTGAAGGCTGATGCTGGGCTTTGATCGGGTACTTCTTCTCCGAAGCTTAACAAAATGACAATCATAAAAAGTGAGGTTTGCGATGAAATTTTACGCACACAACACGATGAGGGCATGCCTTTTTGGCGCGTTCATGCACCTTGCCTTCCCGCACGCGAAGGGTACGATCACTCACATTCTGGGAACCCACTACTTGCTCATTCATGACGTACTTCCCCTGCACTACCTCCATCATAATTTGACCTATATCATTTGCGCTTCGATCATCGAGCATTGAGTCGTCATCTGATGAGTCTAGCATTAGAACTTGGAAGAAGGCTTCGGGAACCTTCGCATACTAACCAGTAAGCTCAAGTTGGGAGAACATGAAATGTCTTCTGACATAACTATTGCTCAGATATGTTACTTCCTGCGTACCAATCCAGCCCGGAGGCATGACGTATGAACGACAGCGATTACCGTCAACCAAGACGGTTACCAAGCCCCCCGAGGTCTGCTGGGCTAAAAACTTCGCCCTGACTCCAAATTTCTTATGAAGGTACTAAGGGTCTTTCCCTGTGCATCTCATGAACAACGCACCTTGCCTGCATCTGACGCGATCCAACACGTTATTCTGTTCTCTGTTGGCGTACTGGAAACGACAACATCATACTCTGGGAGCTCCTCGCCATCCACGAATATACAAGCAGAAAAGTCTCCTAGAATCATGGTGCAAGGTAGATAGGCAATATATCTCGGGGCGGGATACGGCCTGCAGGATGGAATATTAGATGGCTTTGCTTGAAAGAAGTATGTAAAGCTTTGAAGACTATATACGTAACGTAATAAACAGTGAGCCGAGCCTTTCAATGACAACGGGTCACGTGCGGGATGCCGGACGGAGTCCACAAGTTGACAACGTCACGAAGTGTATGTACCAGTTATATTGATATGCGCGCACGCGCAGGATTCTGGTTTGCGCATTCCCCAGTGCAGAAAACACAGTGATTGATGAGAGGGGACTCACTAAGTGGTTATCTTGGACTGATAAGACCGAGGCGAGACGCCGAGCGACAACCACAGCAGCTATTACATAAACAGACAACAAAAAGGAAGTTGAATGGAAAGTCAGCAGAGTTCATGACAAAAACAAAAAGGATAGCACTTTTGGGACATATCGTATCATAGACGTTCACCCGGTGTGGGACTGGATTTGGGAAACCAAGGGAGGTATGCTATAGCTACTCAAGAAGTTGGGAGCCTCGTGCATGTGAACAACAGTTTGAACGTGATTCCACGCTACATATTACATAATTAATATCAGGTTATAGACATCTTGATAAGTCTGGTAAGTTTGGAGCGGGTACTCCCCCGAATTCTGCAGGAATTCCACATAGAAAAAGGTTTACTAATAACAAAGTAGACTTAACAACCGTAGTCAGTGACGACAAACAAGATATCAAGAAGTTGTCCCAATACAAAGACATCCACAGCGATAGGGAATGAAAGACCAATTTCGAATTCCATTGGAAGTGTACGTGCTCCATCTTACAAAGAACCGAGTTCTTAAAAGTAGAATTGCACAGAGGTGAGAGTTACAATCATTAATATGTCTGCGATGACTTACCTCAGAGCGGTGGCCTGAAACCAAGCTATCGCAGACAAAATTAAATCCTCAGTTAAATCGAGGACATCATGAGTAAACGTAGGTTGCCGTCGTGACCCCCCACATTCCAACTTGACACGTGAAAGCTCCCGATCCTCAGATGAAATTAGTTGTGCATGTAGATGCCGGAGCTCCTTCTGCGACGAAGATGATTTGGAGGAAATAACTCTGCCAACATCTAAAGTTACTCAATCCTTGGCTTGATGTCCTTGGAGGGCAATTCAGGTTCATCAGACACCATTTCATCACCGTAATCTTGTCTCTTCGTCGACTGGTTTCTTTGACGTCGATGGTGCTATGCCTATTGCCCGAAAGACATCTAAGATTGAAAAATAGAGTGAGTGGCAGATATGCATAGTCATTATCGTGGCAAGAGGCTGTATTTGAACACGAAGACAGTTGCAGGATGGTCATCTGGTTTGATGGTATTAGATGGAACATCGCCGGCATGACCAAAACGACTTGCCATTTGACGGAGATATCCAAAACATGTTCAGGTGGCAATTATATAGCATGAGGCATGGGATGAAATTCTACGCACGTAACGCGACGAGAGTCTGCCTTCTTGCACATGAAGGGTGCAATTTTTTGGTTCATTGTGTTTCATTATCTTTGCCGCTACATACCTCCCTGTTTTCACCTCCAACGCAATTTAAACTGCATCGTTTGAATTTTCATAATCGAATTGTCATCTGAAATTCACCTTGTCCGGTAAACTTGATTTCTGAGAACATGAAGTCTCTGCGGGCCAGACTCTTGCGTTTTTGCATACCAATCCAACCCGGGAGTATAGCAGCTTGCCTACTGCAATAAACCCTGTCAACAGAGACGATCGGATGCCCGAGCACTGTAGCGGCTGAGCTAAGTTCCTCCACCTAACTCCCAATTTCTCTTGGAGACATCAAGTATTTCGCTAGTATTTATGATGAATAACATACGTATCTTTTCTTCTTCCGACGCGAATCGCGATCCAGGAACCAGTAGGTAATTATGTTTGCTATCGGTGGAGCAAATTGAGATGAATATTTTCTGATGGCCTTGGATGAAACGCGCAGCTGAGTGAAGTTTTCGAAAGTTCGACAAAGTTAATAGAAAAGTCTCCCAATATTGATATAGCATGCGTAGATGAATATTTCACGTACAGTCTTCGGTGAAATGCGCAAGACCACGGTAGTAGTCAAGTAGTTTTGGAAGACTAAAAAAAGACCGTGACTCCTTGAAAGCAGATCACGTGCGATAACCTCGCTTTCCTTCCCATTCATTCTGGACTCAGTTGGATTCATACATGCTGCCTCGGGTTTTCTTCGACTTTGCAATAGGCACTGAGCCTGCAGGGCGGTAATTAATACCCCTATATTGCACTGGTTTTAAGGTCTCATCACTTCATCCTAGAGTTATTTTCGAGCTCTACAACGATACAGCACCAAAGACAGCTGAAAAGTAAATTAACGCTCATGGTATACAGCCCTGATCTGACCTCTTCTTAGCTTTCGAGCACTATGTACGGGAGAGAAAGGCCTTTCTGCTGTCTCCGAACGGCCTCTGTACTACAAGAATAGCATCATTCACCGTTCAATTCGTGATTTTATGATTCAGGGTGGAGGTGCGCCATTATATCACTCCATTTTTAGGCGTTACTCATGGTCACCAGACTTTACGAAACGAAACGGCGCCGGGGGAGAATCCATCTACGGCAGTGCTTTCCCTGATGAAGACTTGACGCGACCTTTGGATTCAGAAGGGTAAGTTCACCATCGAATACTCCAATACTTCACTCATATTCCCAATTCATGGTACAGCCTCCTTTGCATGGCCAACAAGGGGCCTAACACCAATGGATCACAATTCTTCGTTACCCTGAGAGATTGTCCACATTTAAATGGTGAGCCTTTCTTCTAGAAAATCCACATGTGTATTTAATGTGCCCTCATAGGCAAGCATGTCGTATTTGGCCGGGTCATTCGCGGATACGACGAGGTCATTAAGAATCTTGCTGTGGTTCCTGTAGATGAGAAGGATAGACCTCAGCACCCTATCGTTATCGTCAACTGCGGTGAACTTGAACTCAAGAGGAAGGTTGAGGCGTCTCAAGGTGCGCCCTTCTCGCCAGAAGTTGTGATGAAGTGACTGATATCCTTGCAATGTGAAGAATCAAATGCAGAAATTCCTAGTCGAAGGGGCCACAGCAGTCGCTCGCGCTCACGAAGTTCAGATCGTGATCGTAGCACTCAAAAGAAGAAGAAATCCAAGCGCCGAAAACATGAAAGAAAAGCGGATGCCAAATCGGATGATGAGGGCCGCAAGAATGATGACGAGAAGGCTCCTAGGCAAGAAACCGAAGAGGAGTATGATGCCAGACTTGAGAGAGAGGAGCAGGAGCGGTTAGAAGAGGCTAAGCGAAAGGAACTAGAGCGGATCAAGCGCAAATATGAATCTACACCCCCTGCGAGTGAAGGAGGTGTGCGATTTAAAGGTTGGTCATCTTCATCTGTACTTTCGTGTCAAAAGCTGAAGCGGATTTTCAGGACGGGGACGAATGAAATTCATTGACCCCGAACTTCACCATCGACGGTAGAATATCTTGTTGACATTATACTCTCTAGTTTGTTATACCATGCTCATTAACATCATGCGCAATACCCCAAATCACAAAATGTCATAGAAATCAGAGCAAGTGTGAAGATAAAAAGTTATAAACACATTATACTACACGCTTACTTCTGCGACCTGCTCGGTAACCTTGTCCATGGGCAATTCCTCCTTCTCTTCAACCTTGGCGTTTAATGCATCCTTCCTCGTACTAGCAGCGTTGGCGAAGCTGATCGATGGTCTAATATTTGCTGACGTTGTTGGCGTAGCATGAGAAACACGCGGAGATCCAGGTGTAGGTGGCGTAGCGATAACTTGGGGAGGCGACCGTGTAGCAGTGATAGGACTTCGTTCAGTCGCTTGACGGGAGGAGTTACGTGACATTGGGTGCGGAACACGTTCCTTTAAGGCTTCACGATCCTTCTCAACGCGGGCAGTAATTTCGCGTTCTTTTGAGGTAAGATCAACTGGTCTGCTGAGAACTTGAGCACTTGACAGATTAAATATCACAAAAAACGGACCTGGCTGCGCCGAAAGGACTAGCTTTGGGAGCAGACGGGGCAGCGGGATTAGAGGCCATTTTCGGAGAAGAGAGAGGAGAGGGACTGGCAGAGTTGGAAGAACGAGGGAGAAGCTCGAGCTTACGACGGCCCATCTGGGGTGTAGGGGGTGTGGAACTGCTTGCTGTTATCCGAGTTTTTAACCCATACTGTTACCATGTGCTGAAAATGATACTTACGCGATGTTCTCGATCGTCCAGCGCGCCAGTCGCCATCATCGGCGGGCGGGTCTCTCGCGTGTTGCGAATCCTGACTGCCTCTCAAACTAGCAAATCTCGATGGCGGTTCTTCTGTTGCCGGCTTGAACTTACTCCCAAGAGTCCATTTGTCCTCGTTGTCCGCAGGCGATTGGCCTTCGGGCGTGGAGAATCCTGAGCCTCTCCGCTTGAATGATGGAGCCTCTGGTTCAGGGATCTTTGCAAGAGGCTTACTCGACCTCCACTGGTTGACCTCGTCTGAGATACTGGGTGGAGGTGGCATGCGATCTCCCGGGGGACCATCGAACCGACGTCGGGAAGAATCACGTGAGTCCTGCATGTTAGGCGGGGGGCCTTCACGGCGCCAGTTACCAGAGAACTTGGCGTCATCGTCGAAGCTAGACCCTGAGAATCCGGACCTTTCCTTTGCTGTGAAATACTAAGTCTTGCAAGCCTGGAAAGAGTCCTTCAGCACTCACGAGGCTCGGCGACGCTGGTACGAACTGTGCGTCCAGAAAGGCTCTAGAAGAGAATCAACTACAGCACGAAGGAAACTGATGACACGTCCACTGACACTACCGGTCTTTGCCAGTGCATCTTTTAATCCATCAAGTTCCGCGAACTCGACATATCCAAAGCCTTTCGGCTTGTCATCACGGTCCTTGATTATTTTGATCGATTTGGTCTGACCAAAAGTCACATTACGTCATGTATATCAGGCCGCAGAACACGTACCTCATGAGGACCAAAGAAGCTTTCAAGTTCGCCTTCGGTGATGTCAAAGGAGAGATTTGCGACGTAGGCAGTGTAAGGGGGTTGGGTGGGCAGGGGGAGATCTTCCCGAGGCGACGCAAACGATCGATCGGCTGCGTATAGTGTGAATCAACACGAATCCCGAGACTCATAAGAACTTACGCCGCGACGAAGAAAAGTCGTCCCTTCTTCCAAACCGATCACCAGGTCGAGACCTGTCATCATCCGCTCTCATCGACGCTAGGCGAATTCCGATAAGCTAAATCCTCATGGGCATAGACAAGCACATACGAGCACTCGGAAGAGAATCCATTTCATCCGCCCATGATCCCAGCGCTATGCGTCACATTATAACCGAGTTTTCAGGAAAAATGACCAACGCACTGCTATCGCCGAGAAATTCATTGAGAGACATCTTTGATGCCTTCGATTTTTTAGGCGCTGAATATCTTTGAGTATTGAGCATTTAACTTCAGGAAAAAACAAACCCATGATTGAAAACCTTGTGCGATACTTTTCGCTGTATGATCTGTCGCTCGCTAGCTTGGATAAGTAGCAAAAAGCAAGAAGGAAATCACTTGCGGCTGCGACCATAAGACTTTCTCACGCTCGTGTCCTACGTAGATAACACACGGACCAACACGGTGCGCCGCAGCAAGACGTCGACAACATGATCCTTCTTGAGGTGAGCGACGTTTGAAAGCTCCTTTGAGGACGTGTATTCTGATGGCTGTTAGTCCCATAATCTCATCATTCAGACCACGCTTGCGGAGAAGATCGCAAAGTGAGATTGTCATTGACTAGTAACGCTGCGTACACTAATGAGATATCCAGGCCATCGTCTCTCGATGTTTTGTTTGTGGATTTTGATGGCGTGAGGTTTCATCTATCAACGCCAGAAAAGAAGACCGTGGTTCAGCTTTCTATGAATATCAGATGCTGGGATGAGCTAGTTGCATACGGAGCGATGCAGGTATTACAACGGGAGTATGGCCCGCTCATTAAACAGCAGACAGAGCCAGAATATAACATCAGTCTTGAAATAGATATTGATCAGGTTCCAGCCGATGAAGGTGCGTGCCGCTCCGCTACGTGTTTATCTGACTCAGGTGGTGTCTACAGAAAGCAGAGAAGCATTCGTAAAGTCTATCTCGCTGTTCAAGCGGAACGCTCTAGCAGCACCATTCGAGCTCGCATTTAAGCAACAGAAAGAGTTGGAAGCATCAGGTGGTGCTCAGGGGCAGTTAATGCAGATCCACTACCGTGATGAAGAAGCCATCTATATTCAAGCATCGCCTGATCGTGTCACCGTGATATTCTCGACAGTCTTCAGGGAGGAGACTGATCGTATTTTTGGCAAAGTATTCTTGCAGGTCATAATACTCTCTGATTTCTCGCGCCATGCCTGACGTTGCACCAGGAATTCGTGGACGCACGACGGCAGCCCAGTATTCAAAATGCGCCCCAAGTGCTCTACACGAACCGCGACCCACCCTTGGAAATCCGCGATCTCGCAGGTCTGCGGAACACTGATGACATCGGCTATGTCACCTTTGTCCTTTTCCCTCGTCACTTTGCGAACGCCAACATTTCGTTCAATACGATATCACACGTACAGCTATTCCGCGATTATCTGCACTACCACATCAAGTGTTCAAAGGCATACATGCACTCCCGTATGCGTCATCGAGTAGCCGAGTTCCAGAAAGTTTTAAACCGCGCCAAGACGGAGGTGGCAACAACCGAACGCAAAACTGTCACGTATGTTGAGCGCCTTTTGTGAAGTGTCCAGCTAATGGTGTGGTACAGTGGCCGAACTATGACGAATCGGTGAGATCGATGGACGAGGTACCTTTCCCGCATCGTGTAACTTTAGTAGCATATTAGTCAAGACGTCTCCTATGAAATTTGACCCACTGCGCAGCTATGGTTCTCAGCGAAGGGACTCCATTATCATTGGGATTCTTCGTTGAGAACCTCAAACTGTGGTTTGCAGAGAATATAGAAACACTCACCGAAATTTCTCCAGAGTATCTGACAAAGTTGATATTCCTATTCCTTCGTTTTCTCTCCAGGCAGGGCACAACCCGGAATTGACAGTCGCTCCTGCGGCATCTTCACCACCTTTACTTGTATGCACTGACTTCCATATACAGATCATTACTCGCTTGTTAACGTTGGAGAGGTTTCTACACATGATAGGACTCGGAAACGCTGGATGAAAATCATGAATCTGGATGAGCACAATTCTAGGAAGTGCTTGCGCCGGTGTTTTATGTTAAGACTGAGCACTTGAGCACTGAGTACTGAGACAGTGCTAAACAGTGTATAGTAAGTACAATTTGACACAACACAAAATTCAAGGGTACTAGAGTCAGGCGCAGAGCAATCTTCCACGTAGGCTACAAGTCTCATCGTCAACGTCTAGCAGCTCCAGATCTGCGAACTGTGACTGATCTGCATTCAGGCTATCTGTGTCATTGATAGCGGGTTCTTTGTCTCCTGTTTAGTCTTTTTTTCTTGTAGGGAATCCTTGTGTATACATGGGGCAGGATACGATACTATTGGATGCTATACAATGCAAAGTTCTACGGATATTTTCATATGCTGATCACCAGTCTAGTCGTTAGAGTATAAACGAAAGTGCGTCAGAGATTCCCATTCTTGACCAATTCTTCGCAGCTACAATATCTCCAGCATCCTGACGTTGTTCAAGTGATCGACAGATGCCATGTCCCTCACTTGCGCGATGATATTATTGTCCGAAGCAATTCTCTTGTACTCCCCACCACGCTGTTGCGCTAGCAAAAGTGCACCAAAAGGATGAGCAAGGCGAACGAGTAACCTCAACCCTCTGGTGACCAGCTCATCATCTCCAGGTTCATCAGGCCAATCGTCCATGCTCCGCGACTCGTTTGTGGAGTCGACCAACTCGAGATCATACCTATTCCATGGACGGATGAGCAGGAATGTCTGCCGAGTACGCCTTGCAGGCGAGAATTGAATTAGTTTATCTTCCGTGGTGACCAGCAGGTCTTGTAGCCCGTGTGCCTTGACTTCATATGTGAAACATTTGTCCTCGTCTCTACCAGTACTCCGCCTGACTTCTGTGAGAGGAAATGCGATGCAAGGCAATTGCAGTCTACTGTTTGCGAAACGAGGAATGCCGAAGTTCTCAAGAGTGGTATACAGTTTCGAAGCCGACTCCACAGCCACAACATTGTTTCGCAGCGTGGAGACCGAATTCTGTATCTCGTCTTCAGATAGAGATTGTACCGTCCATGGCAGAGCCTTGTATGAGAAAATGTCGGCTGGGAGACAGCTGTTGAAGGTGGACGATTGTCCCACCCAGTCCAGGGCCGTGATGTCACCGGAATGGGCTATGATCTCCTGCAAGAGACGTCCGAGCGCGTTCTGTCTTTTCTCTGCGTAGATTACAGGAAGGTGGACGCCGAAGATCCCAAACAGCGAATACGCGATATCTTCCTGCAATGTGGTAACACGCGTTGACGCCCATCGAAGTTTCTCTCGGGCATGTCTCATTCCCGGGTGGAAGGCGGCGAGCGCCCGTGCATTTATCCCAGTTGAACGCTCCAACTCCCTCATGATAGTGACAGACTCCTTGTGGTTGCGCGAGCGGTCATCGAGATATGGGGTCCAATCTACTTGGTAGAAGAGGAGAATTTTAGGAGCGAGGAATTCCTGAACGGTCCATCCTCGCGTGTTCCAAATGCTGTTTGCGAGCGCGCCAGATTCTGACCAAGGAGGAACATCCGATAGGTAGACGATGGTGAGCGCTGAGTGGTGATACCAGACGAACATGGAGTTGACTGATTGCTGGACCTCAACATTGTTGTTCTGGTCGATGCAGCAAGTGTCGCTCCACGCCCAACGATGCCCCGCATCGCAAGCGACTTGACAGAATTTTTGCAACTTCACAACAGTTCCGACCGGATCCAAGTCGTATATGACTTTGTCCTGAATGTCGTGCAGCAGCGGCTCTTTGGTTTCCCACCTATGGGATAACATCACCCAACTGAAGTACTTGATGACCGCTTCTTTGATGCGTTCCGTTTGGAGGGGCGCATGCGTCACTAATGAATGCAGAAGCTCTTTGTACTCTATACTCTCCGTGACAGCGTTGATCTGTGCATTTCGATTACATATATGCCCAGTGGCGGTATTGATTAGACGAAGTGGAGCATTTTCCAGTTGGGCGTGAATGGCTCGTCGAATAGCATCTTCTACTTCAGATGGACTGATGTATTGCTGGCGTAGCTCTGCAAAAACATAAGTCATCTTTCAAGTCGGCACTTGAGTTGTTTGGGGCTTACGTCGTATTCGTGGGTTGGGTGCATCATCTAACTTGGAAAGCATGAATGTAAAGGCCTCGAGTGCATCATCATAGCGCTGTGCTCCATGAAGCACTGTATACTTCAAGTCGTATCCGAGATGAGACGAAGGATCGAGCTCGATGACCTGCAAATATCATCAGAAATGTTGAAACAATGACGGATATCGTCCGCACCTTTTCCGCGTCCGAAAGGGCCTCCGCATAGAGCCTTTGGTCCAACTTCACCTTACTGCGATGCGCAAAGTATGAAGGATCCGTCTCGAATGCTGTGGAAAGTGTGCTCTCGATGGACCAGAGCTGAAGGTTTCCATCAGAATCTCCACTTACGAGCAGTTCTCCACTAGGAGAAATTGCGACGCAGAAAACATATGTGGCGTGTTTGAGTGCCTGCCCTATCTGCAGATGTGACTTTGTGTTCCACAGATGCACTGTATGGTCGTCCGAGGCGGTTCCAATGAAAGAACCATCAGAAGAGATGGCGAGTGACCTAATGTTGCAAGTGTGACCAGTGCAAGGTTGACCGATCTGGGTCCCATTCGCCGAGTCCCAAAACTTGATTGTTTTGTCGCGTGACGCAGAGACAAGTTGCTGGCCATCAGGCGACCACACAATGCTGCTGACCCAATCCTCGTGAGCCTCTATGTCGAATAGAAGCTTGGCGTTATTGGTGTCCCAAACCAAAATGTTGCGCAATGTTCCGGACGCTAATTTTAGCCCATCTGGGCTGAAGGCGACACACAACACCATACCCACATTACATTGGAGGGTTGAGAGGACAGCACCAGTCTCCGCATCCCATATAACGACTGTTCCATCCAATGACGCGCTCGCGAGTCTCTTGCCATCTGGAGAGAAACACAGTGATCTCACCGTGTCTTGATGCTTCACCAGCGGACCAAGTACTTTCTGCTCGTCGACGTCCCAGATCATGATGTCTGCAGATGAACCGCTCGCAACTCGTCTGTCATCTGGTGATACAGCGACTGGACATGTGATTGGACCGCTCCAGTGTCCCTCGAATGGCCCTGCTACCAATGCTCCTTTCTCTACATCCCAAATGCGCGCAATGTGGTCCGAGCCAGTAACAACCCGCCGACTGTCTTTGAAGAACACTACGGCGGATACTGGCGCCACGTGCTTTGGCATCGTCCACGTCAGTCGTGTCTTCGCCGGTGTCGCGAACCCTCTCACAGCAAGATACGCTGTTTTTGCTCCATCAAGCACACTTGCCAACATGTCACGCTGGCCTACTAGACAGAAAGATGAATGATCAGTAGTATTTGAAATTGACGAGGAGAGTACTTTATGGTTATGTCGTTAATCTTATGCGTCGTGAGTAGAGTTGTATTCTACCCATAAGTGATGTGGGTTGTCTAGGTCTTTGATGGCTCTTACCACGCCACAGGCTTTTTATATAAATTCCAAACCCGCTCCAATGAGCATTGGTCTGGTGCGTACTAGTCAGGAGTGATGTTAACAGGTACCGTGTGAGGTTGAGGCAGGTATGTATTGTCCTTGAGTAAGTGTGTACAACAAATGAAAGTACAGCGGGGAGACAGACCTTGGGCAGCTGACACACTAACCAGAAACTTCTGAAAGACACCAACATAAACCTGTAACAGACCTGCATGTGGAGTCCATGTGTTAGGTTTATATAGATTGACCAACACGGGGACGGTGTGCTGCAGGCGTGGGAAAAATACCCGCTAGTGTATTAGCTAATTAGGTGCGGCACGAACACCGAAGAGACGAGACACTTCAGGGGTACTGTTCTATGAAGGTCAAGTCTCAATAAATATACGCCAGATTCCACTTGCCCTAAACTGCTACGAGCACCCGTCACCAGTGCAAGTTGATTCAATGATTTTTGGCGTTCTGACGTTCATCATGACACATCGACAGGAGTCGCGTTTTCTCTATTTCCTGCTTACAGTCCTTTCTGTCTTGCAGGCGACCAAAGTGAAGTTCATGTATATATGCGCAAAGTTCTACAGGTATCTTTGCATGCAGTGGTGTCAAGGTACAAACGAAAATGCATTAGAAATCCCCGTTCTAGCCAGCTATAATATCTCCAGCATTCTGACGTCCATCATGTCATTGACAGAAGCCATGTCCCTAGCCTGTGCGATGATGTTGTTATCCGAAGCGATTCTCTTGTACTCCCCACCCCACTGCTGCGCCAGTAAAAGTGCGCCAAAAGGACGAGCAAGACGAACTAGCAACCTCAAACTTCTCGTGACCAGCTCATCATCTTCAGGTTCATCAAGCCAATCATCCACACTCTGCGATTCGTCTGTAAAGTCGACCAACCCGAGGTCATAACGATTCCATGGGCGGATGAGCAGAAATGTCTGCCGAGTACGCCTTGTAGGGGAGAATTGAACAAGTCTATCTTTTGTTGTGACCAGCAGGTCTTGTAGTCCGTCTGCCTTGACATCATAAATGAAACCTGTATCCCCGGCCTGACCAGGCCTCCGCTTGACTTCTGTGAGAGGAAATACGATGCAAGGCAATTGCAATCTCGCGTTTGCGAAACGAGGAACGCTGAGGTTCTCAAGAGTGGTATACAGTCTCGAAGCCGAGTCAACAGCCAAAATATTATTTCGTAATGTGGAGACCGAATTCTGCATCTCGTCCTCGGATAGAGATGGCAGTGTACATGACAGAGCCTTGTATGAGGAAATGTCGGCTGGCAGGCAACTGTTGAAGTTCGACGATTGTCCCGCCCAGTCCAAGGCCGTGATGTCTCCCGAATGGGCTATGATCTCCTGTAGAAGTCGTCCGAGCGCGTTCTGTCTTTTTTCTCCATAAATTACAGGGAGGTGAATGCCGAAGATCCCAAACAGCGAATACGCGATGTCTTCCTGCAAAGTAGTTACACGCGTTGACGCCCATCGGAGTCTCTCTCGGGCATCTCTTGTACCCGGATGAAAGTCAACAAGTGCCGACGCATTTATGCCTGTTGCATCTTCCAACTCCTGCATGATGCTGACAGACTCCTTGTGGTTGCGTGAGTAGTCGTCGAGATATGGGCTCCAATCTGCTTGGTAGAAGAGGACAATTTTAGGGGCGAGGAACTCCTGGACAGTCCATCCTCGCGTGTTCCAAGTGCTGCTTGCGAGCGCGCCAGGCTCTGATGAAGGAGGGACATCCGATAGGTAGACGATGGTGAGCGCTGAGTGGTGATACCATACGAACATGGAGTTGACTGATTGCTGGACCTCAACATTGTTGTTCTGGTCGATGCAGCACGTGTCGCTCCACGTCCAACGGTGCCCCGCATCGCGAGCCACTTTGCAGAACTTCTGCAACTTCACAACTGTTCCGACGGGATTCAAGTCATATATATCCCTGCCCTGAATGTCGTGCAGCAGCGGCTCCGTCCTTTCCCACCTATGAGACAACATGACCCAGCTGAAGTACTTTGCGACCGCTTCTTTGATGGGCTCCGTCTGGAGGGGTCCATGCATGACCGATGAATGCAAAAGCTCCTTGTATTCTGTGCTTTCAATGAATGCGTTGATCTGCACGTCTCGATTGCACAAATGTCCGGTAGAGGTATTGATTAGACGAAGCGGGGCGTTTTCCAGTTGGGCGTGAATAGCTTGTCGGATAGCATTTTCTACTTCAGATGGACTGACATATTGCTGGCGTAGCTCTGCAAAAAATGTAAGTATTCTTCAAGTCGGCGCTCGAGTTGTTTGGAGCTTACGTCGTATCCGTGGGTCGAGTGTATCATCCAACTTGGAGAGCATGATTGTGAAGGCCTTGAATGCGTCATCATAGCGCTGTGCTCCAAGAAGCGCTGCATGCTTTAATTCGTATCCGAGATGAGACGAAGGGTTGAGCTCAATGACCTGCGAATATATCAGCACAAATATAGAAACAACGACGGATATCGTCCGCACCTTTTCCGCGTCAGAAAGGGCCTCAGCATAGAGGTTTTTGTCCAACTTTACTTTACTGCGGTGTACGAAGTAGAAGTCGTATGATGGATCCATCCCGAATGCTGTGGAAAGTGTGTTCTCGATGGACCAGAGTTGAAGATTCCCATCATTATCTCCACTCGCGAGCAGTTCTCCACTGGGAGAAATTGCAACGCACCAAACCCATCTGGTGTGTTCGAGCGCCTGTCCTATCTGCTGGTGTGACTTTGTGCCCCACAAGCGCACAGTCTTATCTTCCGAGGCAGTAGCAATGAAGGAGCCATCAGAAGAGATGGCCAGGGAGTATATTTTGTCGTTGTGACCAGTGCAAGCTTGACCGATCTGGAACCCATTCGCCAAGTCCCAAAATTTGATTGTTTTGTCATATGATGCGGAGACAAGTTGCTGACTATCAGGCGACCACACAATATTTCCAATCCAATCACTGTGAGCGTTGATGTCGAACAGAAGCTCGGCGTTATCGGGGCTCCAAACCCGGATAATGAACTTTGTTGCAGATGCTAATTTGGACCCATCTGGGCTGAAGGCGACACAAAACACCGAAGACAGATTACCCTTGACGAGTGTTGAGAGAACAGCACGAGTCTCCACATCCCATATAACAACTGTTCCATCCAATGACCCGCTTGCGAGTCTCTTGCCATCCGGGGAGAAGCACAGTGATGTCACTGTATCTTCATGGTTATCCAATGGATCGTGTACTTTCTGCTCATCGATGTCCCAGATCATGATATAATCACCTGAACTGCTCGCAACTCGCCTGTCATCTGGTGATACAGCGACGAGAGACCTGTAGGGACCCATCCGCAACCAACCCTCAAATGGCGTTCCTACCAATGTCCCTTTCTCTACGTCCCAAATGCGCGGAATTTGGCCCGAAGCACTGACAACTTGTCGACTGTCTTTGAAAAACACCACTTCGAACACCGGCATTGTGTGCTTTGGTATTGTCCGCGTTGGTTGTATTGTCTCCGCCGGTGCCGTGAACTTTTTCACAGCAAGATACGCTGTTTTTGCTCCATCAAGCACAGAAAACATGTGACGTTGGCCTACTAAACAGGGAGATGGATGGTCAGTATGATCGACGAGGAGAGTACCGTGAGTAGAGTTGTATTCGTTATCTATCTTACCAGTGTTACCACGCCACAATTTTACACCCCAGGCTATTTTCACTTCCCCATGGCACTAGTCAGCTCAATCGGACGAATCTGTGCTTGCCGTTTTCACTAGTGGTTTGTATAGTTTCCATTTACCATTACTTTGGGAAATACACTCACTTCTCGATTTTACCTTCGTATGCTAAATATGTGATACGGCTCTATGATAAAAATCCAGCAGTAGCAACCATCACCAGACTCGTGTGTCCCTTCAAGTTTCAAATTTCAACCTTGGAGCAAGTTGGCGGGCCACTTTCGCTGAAGACTGTTCATGTCATCTTTAGCACATCGGCTCCTCGCTAACATCATATGATATGTAGCTGGTCATCATTTTCAGCGTCCAGTGTATTATACGTCTATCACGCCAAACAGCCCTTGACAGTATGGAAATATATACACGTGCAGCATGACCTCAGGAACACTAGTAGGCCTCAACCTCTCCTCTGCATCTCAGCCCAACTTCATTCAGTCCGCATACCACAACCCTCGTCTTTCCCTCCCATTTATTCCGCCCACCACTTGGCCTATCCTCGATCCTCGTCATTTTGCTTCATCGCACCATCATGCCTGGTAGCTTAGAAGAACGATACATTAGACTTGGAGGTGAGACCCTCCACATCACCTTCCTATCTATTTTTATGATTCTCACAATCTATCTACAGTCGTGAGCGGAAAGAATCTTTCAAATCTCTTTGGAGCGCATACCTACAGGCAGTTACATATCCATCAATGTCGATTTCCGGGTCCGCTGGACAGTGGAAATTGGCTACCAGTGTCTTGTCATCTGGTGAATCTGTAGCGTTGGAGAATACTATAACCATTGACTCTGAAGTCCATAAAGACTTTCGGATGCGATGCGAGAACTGATCTTTGGTTCCTAGTTCATCATATGCCCCTGCATTATCAGTGGAGATCAGGGCATCCCATGAGCTTGGTCGAGTACTAGGCAGTGTAGGGGTCATCGGGAAATTTCAAATGTCATGGGATGAGCTACTCAATCGCGGCGATGAGCCATTCGGTGACTAACCTCTCATTCATGTACATTCTTCGCGAGTCGCCCGTTGTGCAGACTTAAACGAAGGATAGATAGATCACGGTGTATAATGTAGCTAAGACGATGGTCTAAGCAATTTGGGCGAAGGCGCGCAGCGCCTCCCGGTCCCGATCTGCATCCTGTGCAAGAAGAAGGTGAGCTGCGAATCCCATAACGGTAGGAGTCCTGGCGACGCATCGAGCGAACCGCGGATACCCAAGATAGTAGGAGCAGAGGACGATCACTCACGTGGTGCATTATCGTTGACGTGGCATTGTGTACCGAAGAAACTCGTCTTGCAGGATTGGAGTTGCTTGAAGGTATGGCGCGAGGATTTGAGCATGGTTGCGAAGGTAAAGCTGAAAGGCATCACTGGCCCAGCGGCCCATTGTTTTGACGACGTCAAACGGGACATTTCGTAGGAGATATTCCAACGTGGCGCCTACATCAGGAAAAAACATAGTGACTACATAGTGCTATATAGTCAGGGTAGCGCGAGTAGCCCCGTTGTCAAGTGCCCTCTATGTAGACACCATAGAGTCCCATAGTAACTACCAGTAGCTACAAGGTACTACCGTAGTTTGTCGGAGTGCTACTGCACGCAGCTATAAATTACTACCAGCAGCTATATAGCACACCAAAGAACCTCGTAGTCACAATTAAATTCAACCACCTGAAACACAAACTAGCATAATACGAACGTCTTACTCACTGCGTCCCTATTCATCATCCCCACCCTCGCTACTAGGATACTCATACTCCTCGACCTCATCCTCGACTGCCGCATCCTTCCCCTCACGCTGGTACTCTCGAATAGCGTCTTCAAACGCCGCGTCGTCGATGTGGGCCTGGGATGTAGCTGACAATGGAATGAGTGATGCGACACCTGCGTGGAAGCTGAGAAGCGCGAGCATTAGAAGAGTCAGTGAGATAAGAGTCCAACATACCGCGCTGTATCATGCAGATTGATACAAATTTTTGAAAGGAGTTTGTAAGGTGCAGTGCGCTCATCAAAGCGTTGCAGTGAGCTGAAATGATGGTTGTAGACGGCCCCATAACCAGCAGATGTGAACTTGATGTCCTCTTTGATGCCTTGCGACCACTCATCAACACAACATTCTATCTATAAGATATTGTCAGCGTCATCAAGTTGAAAGTAAGAATGTGAAAAACGGCTCACAGCCGTAAGCATGAGCGCAATAGTTTTGATAGGGATGGGGTTGAAGTATTTGTGGTAGATGACACCCTCGTCACTTCGGTTCAAGAACCACATGCTGTTGATACCCTGTTGAAGCAACTCGGTCTTGTAGATGCCTGACTTGGATGACGGGTCCTATTGCTCAATGTCAGCACTAAGTTATGTAGACCGTCAAATACTCACCTTGAAAACAAAGATCGAGCCAATTTTCAATCTCTCTGCGAGATCTTGGTTTGACCTTATCACCTCCATAGAATTACTTGAGCGGAAGCCGTGAAATGAAGCCGTGAGCGGACGCATCTTCGTCTTGAGTTCGCCTCGCACGTGTGAAGCGCGTTTCAACAGCTTTGAACGAATAAGACCAGGAATGCACTAAAAATACTGTGCTCACCATATTCACCGCCGAAGGGGTCAGTTTGACGTCAACACCTTTGAGTTGACATGCCTCGCGCCAGGCCTCTTTCGCCAGTTTTGTCTCAGCTGCAACGGAATCCGGAAAAGGTGCCTGTGTGACGATGAGACACCGATAAACGGAGCAAGCAGTTATGAGAATCTCTTTCGAGATTTCGTCAAAGTCGCTGGCTTTCACGCGTCGACGCGAACCGTCAGTGTTTTTCTTGACCTTCGGCACCACGGTATCTTCATATGACATGTCATCGAATGATCGCTTGGTCCCTCGAGCTGCAGGCAACTGTTCGTCGTCGTCATCGTCAGCATCGTCGTCGTCGTCGTCTGTTGACTCGTCAACATTATGTGGTGCTGTTTGATGGAGGGTTAGTAGTGTAATTATATAAAGTAAAAACATACCTTTTGGTCCTTTGGTTGTAGGTATGGATGAGTTGCGCAACCTTGGAGGGATTTTCCCTGTACTGAATGTCAGGCTATTAGTGTTGGACAACCTTGTATCGACACTGTGGTCAGAGAACTGAAAAAAATAAATGTCAGCGGCTGATTTAAGATGAGGAAAGAAAACAAAAGCTCGTACCATTGTGTCTTCTTGCCTGTCCATGTCGCTAAGGAGCTCTGACGGCTCTTTCTCGAAGACGTCAGGATGCCCTTGGTAGGCAGCCTTTAAGGCCTTCTTCTTCTGTTTTGCCGTCCGGGTTTCCTTGATTTCTTGGCGATGGACAACATGTTGGGATTCGCTGACTGTAGAACGAGATGGTGAGTGAGCGGAACATAATGTGCTGGTACTTACGACGGTAGTTCTCTTTTTCAGTTGGTCACTGCTCTTGACCACTTGCAGTGCGCACCTGCTGTTTTGCGGCAGGTGGTGAGGGGGCGCGCTTTTGTTTTGCGGCAGGTGGTGAGGGGGCGCGCTTTGGCTTGGAGGTAGGCTTACGAGGTGCCATGGTTGTCTAGTCAAAGTACACAGCAGGTCAGCACAATTTATACCACTGCGAAACAGACAAATAACTCACAATTGAACCTTAATAGTTCGTTGATTGTTGATTTGAAGAATGAAGGGCTGAAAGCTGTGTCAAACGAGAGGGACAATAAAAAGGTATGATCATACCGTCACAATTTATTTTCACTGTTATGAATACCCCCGACTCGTCAAAAAAACGGTATGGAGCTTGCTTCAAAACTCACTGTGCTCTGACGAATCTTGCAGCCCGATGTCACAAATTGCTGGTCGCAAAGAGGCTGGCTGTGAAGACACGAAAATTGACGTCAAAAGGTTAGTTGCCGTTCCACGTTACACTCAAATACTCACCGGCTTGCAGACCCAAGCTCGAAAGGCCTGATGCAGAGCCCATGTTCCTGCGCCCTCCATTTCGTCAAACACCTGGCCCTGTCACAGCTTCCCAGAATTACATACAAAACCTAATTCTGGAGCGTTGGGAGGCAGAAGTGAAGGCCTGCGAGCAAGCAAAAAAACTGCAACTGTTAGAAATAGCACCAGGCCCAGCTATTAGTATCTTACAAGCGAGCATACAAAGGCTCGTCGTTGAGCGCTGGGATGCGGAGGTGAAACGGTGTGAGGAAGCCAAACGGGCGCAGCTTTTAGAGGTACTTCTGGCCGCCCATGGTATTTCCAAACTAACGTAGCACATCAAATTAGCTAGTATCAGAGACGAGAATTAACATACTAGAATTGGTCATTGGCTCTCTCGATCTTGTTCTCTCGCTAGACGAGGAAGATTGTAATGGAGGTTGTGTGTTGGGAACTAGGCAAGATGTAAGTATCATTCAAACTGATCAGAATAAGAGCACGTACCTATCTTACTGTAGACGGAATGACCAGGATCTCTGCCTATCTTACTGTAGACGGAATGGCAGGATCTTTGCCTATCTTACTGTAGACGGAATGGCGGGCAGGATCTTTGCCTATCTTACTGTAGATGGAATGGTGGGCAGGATCTTTGCCTATCTTACTGTAGACGGAATGGCAGGGTAAGCAGAATGGCAGGCAGGATCTTTGCCTATCTTACTGTAGACGGAATTGTGTTGGGAACTAGGCAAGATGTAAGTATCATTCAAACCGGTCAGAATAAGAGCACATACCTATCTTACTGTAGACGGAATGGCAGGGTAAGCAGAATGGCAGGTGTTACGCACTCAAATAGATCTGTTAGGCGGAGCCCTAAGAGGGGCGTCGTCCGCTAACATTCGTGACGTAACCGGAAGGATCCGGTATAGCAAGTGAGACTGGCGACGACTGAGTCGGCAGCGATCACAGTACGTGCGTGTCACGTGACTTCGTAGACGGATGTCTGTGAAGTCGCTCAAGGTAAGGACTGTCTTGTCCGTATGATGAGGTCGATCGAAGTAGACTTAGTCGCGATGAGCAACTAAGAAAAGATACTAGAGACTGAAGCTGAGGGGCTTCAGAGAGAAGTATGTTCCAGGGAAGATTGAGTAGATTCAAGTTAGAGAATCTAGTACAGGGTGACCGACTACTTATACTAAGTGGAGAGGGTTAAGGGCAAGGCTACCGCACAGTAGGTAAGGGTAAAGGGGAAACGAGAATGGTATAGGTGCGCTTGGCAACATAGCCGGATTAGTGATGGGTGGTCGAATGTGGAATGAGACCGAGAAACGTTGGAACGGACCAACGGTAAGAATACAACGTGCGGGAATCCGCAGTCAGAGGGAACAGAAAGAGGAAAGCCACATTGGTGGCACGAGTCAGACCGAGTCATAGGTGCGGGACCACATTGGTGGTCGAATCAAGGGAGGAACGTGCGTGCACGTGCATAGAGGCGGGCGATGCGAGGGACGGGAACGGTCCCGAGGATCCGGTCAATGGAAAGTCGGTAAAGGAGGACGAGCCGGTAGATGGTGAGGGCGAGGATGAAGGGAAAATGATAGGGGGGCCACGTGACCGATGTTACTTGTAACATTACCCCCGTTTCAAGGCTCAAGCTCAACGAGCTTAATCATCCTGGTTGTCGTACCAGCTGGGGTCGAAGTCGAGGTCGGCAAGCCATTCGGCGGCCTCGAGTGCGTTCTCCTCGCGTTCTTGTTCGACGCGGGCGGCTTCGTGATCATACGCTGCTTCAAGCTTGCGCATATCAGAATAGAATCTAGTCCGAGGAAGGTCCTCGGCGCAATAGTTTCCGTCCATCGAGTTGTGGACAGAAGGGGGTGAGGTGTTTTGGGGCAAATTGCCCACAGATGCGGCAGAAGTACTGAGCGCAGTGCTTCTGTTTAGTGACCGTATACACGGCATTGGCGACAGATCACGTTGGAACGGTAGATCTGGGTGGTCTCGGTGGCCTCGATGCGGGCACGGTTCAGGGCGTCTTCACGGGTGTAGTGCCTCAGTAAAGTTCTGGGTGCGTGGGCGGTGTGCATGGGAGAGGTGGAGTCCGAGGGCGAGCACGGATCGTGCACGTGCGCGTCATCACGACGTCGTGGGGCGGGAAGGGGGTTTGGGTTCTCGACCGGAGAACCAATGGTCAAAGGGGGTACGTCCCTAGTGGGCACGAAGTCGTTGGGGGTGATGGTGGGGGCAGGGTGAGATTCGTCTGCCAAGGGGATGGTGAGAGGGGAATCGTGTACTTCGAGGAAGACGATAGTGTCTGCCTCAGGAGTGGGGTTACGTGGCGCATAGCATTCACGTTCGTATTCGTTATAGAGGCGGTCGATTTCTGGGTTCGTCAGCTGAGTGACGTTGGGGACGTGTTCATCGTCGGATTCGATGTCTGGTCGCTGGATGGAAGGGGGTCGGAGCTCTGTCACTGACAGCACGCTCGACGACGACGAGAGGGTCGGGAGGGGGATTAAATGCCCGCTCCTCCTCGACGGCCAGTACAACAGACTGGAAGTTCCTAAGTTCGAGCAGGTTTAGTAACGCCTGCTTGATTTTACCCTGATTGTAGCGGGTAGAGATGGTGGAGAGGGTGGTGTCCCTCTGAAGGTCGATCCTGGCGATGTCGCCAGTGAGTGCATCTGCACTTCGAAAGGCATTGATGATGTTGTAGGTAACATCGTCGTTGGTGCGCGCGAGGTAATTGTCGATGCGCAGGGCAAACTGAGGGTCGCAGATCACTGCTTCCCAGTAGGCACGCGTCCTGTCTTCGCGGACAGAGCGTAAGGAGGGTCGTCGGTACGGGGTGAAGGCTGGCCTCTCAAGGCCAGGCGGTTGTCGGGGTGTCTGGGTCGGGCCGTATACAGATGCAGGAGAGGAAGCGGAGAGGGGAGAGGAAAGCGACGATGCTGAAGCCGACATATTTGAGGGGCTTTCCTTGGGTGTTGGCGTAGGTGAATTCTTGGGTGACTGGTCGATGCTTGTCAAGGGGTTTGGTGGAACGGTGTCGGTTCCGGATCTGTTGTCGATGGAAATATTCGGGGGTCTGTGGCAAGGGTTTGTCGCGAGGGGAGGTGGAGTAATGAGCTCTGGTGTGGAATCGTCGGGTTCTATGGTTGCGGTGTCGTTCTTGTAGAGGAGCTATGGTGGTAGCAGATCAACAGTTGATGGCGATTGAAGCGATCTTGAGTCGCTTCTTATACGCCTTCAGCAGCTCCGCTGCGGACTTCAACTCCTTTTCGGGGAGCCACGTTCGTTCGGAGGGTGGGTAGCCTACCCAAGACACGAGGTATCGGCGGCGCGCACCGGTACCCTTGTGTTGGAGGATAGCTTCCACTTCGTAATGTTCCTCCCCATCGATCAGGTCAGGGGGAGGTTCGGTGAAATTCGGACCATGCACGTCCGTCTCCTGATAGGAGGAAAGTTCCGAGGCATGGAACGTGGGGTGGATACGCCAGCTGTCAGGCAACTTGAGCTGGAACGTGATGGGGGAGAGGACCTTCTGGATTGGGAAGGGTCCATAGCGTTTCGGGGCGAGTTTCCGAGAAGGGAACCCGGTGATCAGATTCGTGGCAGATAGCCAAACTTTATCACCAACGTTCCATGGCTTGTAACGCTGGCCAAAGGAACGATCAGCCATGCGCTGCTGTGCAAGGCTGTGGCATGCGAGGGCTTCCTCGCGGATCTTGGCAAGGGATTTGACACGTTCTTCGGCGGTCGGTAGGGTAGAGTCGGGGAAGAGATGGGGAATGCCTCGTGGCTCGTATCCCATCATCAGGAAGAAGGGGGAGGCGTTCCTGGCAGAGTGTCTTCGGGAGTTGTGGACAAACTCGGCCATGGGCAAGTGCTTTGCCCATTCAGGAGGGAGTCGTCCGGCAGTAGATCCGGAGGTAGGTTTCTAGCTCTTGGTTGAGCCGTTCAGTCTGGCCATCCGTCTGAGGGTGATAGGCGGTGGAAAGTGCGACTTGG